AATATTAACAAAATAATAAAATAATCTAGCACAAACATGTTGGGGAATAGATTTTCTCTGTTTTCTCGTAACTAATGATTTCTGACTTGTTACACTTTTTAACTGGTGTATCGATATAGCTTTATTGAGTTTCTTGAACCATACTATATTAAATATAGTATAGTATAATATGGTTAAATGTTATTATAAAATTAGTATTCGATCAAAATCTATATCGAACCAAAGTGCGCCAAAGCCTAGGAGGTGGTTGCCACCCCATCTCCGGGGTGAAAATTTTTTTTACGTTTTAACTACAGGTTTCGATTAAAAAAGTGATTCTAAATAAAAAATTTGCTATACATTTGTTTTATAAAATGATATATTTTAAGTTATTCGCGATTGAAAGTAACAACTTTTAGACGAAAAAATCCACGTTTTTAATCGATTTTTCGCGAATAACTCGAAAATGGTGCATTTTATCAAAAAAATTGTAGAAAACAAATTTATAGCTTTTAAAAAGACAAATACAATTCATTTTAAAATGTTTAAAATGTTTTTGCGATATAATAGGAACCGAAATACGGCCTATCAATGTTCAGCGGTTTTCTTCAAATGCCAAATTTGAAAGATTCAAAGTCAAATATCGGGAAAATAATGCATTTTTGGAAGAAAACTCACAAAACCTTTTTTAAAGAGCATAAATAGACCTATCATAAAAAAAGACTCTAGCTTAAAAATTGAGTGAGTTATGATGAAAATAAGGTCAATACCTCATTTTTTACGAAAAAATCGATGAAAACAATCCTCTAACCACCCCCATAATTAAAATCGATCTTCACCCTTCTGCAATTCCCTTTGTACATGTATTGTTAATACGTCCAAGAAGTTTGACCCATTTAAAATGCTTAGTTTTAGAAAAAGTACAGCTTAAAGCGAGAAACGATTTACAATTTCATATTTTTTTACCCTTCTTTTTTTAAATATGCCCGAAAATACTGAATATATGAAAAAATAAAATTAACAAATTGTAGCTTTTTTAATGACTAAATTTATCCTTTATTTAGATTTGTTGTACAACGAATATTTGGCGAGATATAGCCGTTTAAAGCATCGATTTACGATCAAGCACCATCTTTTTCGAGCCCTTTAAACTCACCCCATTTAAAAACCAAGGGTTCCAAAAAGATTTAATTCACAGATCCTTGTAGCTCTTAAAAACCTCCACAAATCGTTTTTGAAGAATCACTCTATCGTTAAAAATTAAAGGAAATACGTTAAAAAAACCAGTTAATTTTTTTCCGGAAAATTCCATTAGTATAGTACAGTACATTTCGGAGCATAATAATCTACAAAATCGGTATATTAGCTAGTGGGGCGTTATACATTCGAAATTTTAAGCGTTCTTATTTTGAAATCCCATACAACAGAATAAAACATCTGCTCATATGTCTATAGCTTGGCAATGAAAATATCAGAGCAACAGATTGGGGATGGTATTCCAAAGATGGTTTGTTATTACCCGTACGCATGAACAAACAGCCTGCACCCGATGAACTTTGGAAAATTATTTTTTGCCAATGCAAAAAAGGATGCGGCGTTTCATGTGGGTGCAGAAAAGTTGGTTTATATTGTAACTCTACTTGTTCTGGTTGCTCAGGTGAAGGGTGCAATAACAGTCCACCAATAATTGAAGAAAATGAGGATGACATAGATCACGATGAAGATGTAATTGATGACGAATAAAATTAATATTATAATTGTTTTACCTATAAATGTAAATATTTTCAACTATTTATGTAAATGTATAAGAATATATGGTGCCTTTTTATGTTGATAATTTTTTTTGTATTTAATTCTACTTTTTTTCAATTTATATCTTATAAATTAGTTTATAAAAACTGCAATGTTGTAAAGGGTGATTAAGTTGAAAAGTTGCAAAATTTTGGCAAAAAATTGTTTTCACCTATAGCACTCATAACAATTGATTTTTAAGGGTTGAAAATGTATGAATTTGTATTTTAAAGTATAAAAAAATCACTATTTAACTAATCCAAACCAAATTTCACTCATCTTAAGATTTGTAATATTATTTTACAATTTTTGAAAACTAGGGTTCGTCGACATGACATAAACTATAAAGCAGCGGATGAATTGAGCTTAAATCCAAATTTTTATCCAAATCGATCCAAGTCGAAATCATTTTTTTAGAATTAGTAATTTTTTTACATTAATCTCTAACAAGGGTGGCTTTTTAAGGGTTGAAATATGATGGAACTCTATTCAAAAGTATAAAATAATCATTATTTAACTAATTCAAACCAAATCTTACCCACATTCAGGTTTAATATGACATTTTATAATTTTTGACAATTACGGGAAGTTTCCACCCCTAAAACCCTTCAGCGCACTTCGGTTCGATATAGATTTTGATCCTTGGGCTATCACCTACCTTCTGTTAAAATTTCAAATGGATACATGCAGGACGAAAAAATTGCAAGGTTTTAACTTTTTTCGAGCTTCATTTCCTGAACTATTATCGCTTCCTTACACAAACCCGTCTTACGCAAACAACATTGTTGCGAAACAGATAGTTGAACGATATTTTATACAATGTCTATACCCAGGCATGGATTTATTTTTGTCCAAGTTTTATATTTGTCCACTATTTCAAATGCAGTTCAAACAGACATGTATTAAATTGTATGTTCCGTTTTAATTTGGTTCAATCTGTATATATATATATATATATATATTATATATATATATATATATATATATTTATATATATATATATATATATATATATATATATATATATATACAGTAGGTATAGGTAAAAGTTTATGGTCGGTATGGACCTTACATGATATGGAGTGAGAAACAACTGTTTAAAAAAGAGAGAGGTATATTATATCCGCCCTTTATATCACCGAACATAAATGAGTGGATATAATAAAAAAGGGGAAGTTCGGCGTTGCCAAACTTATTGGTTTTATTTGACCTGTTGTCTTTTTAGCATTTGAACAATGCTCCAAGATAATCAAATTTGGGCGAAATGGATTTAAATGGCAGCTTACTGTTTTTTATTGGGAATATGCCACAATTTTACTTTACAATAAGTGTAATATAACATTTTGATTTATACTTCGGAAATCGTTTTATATAAATAAAATTTATTAATGTTTCGTATTTTAAGTACGATTTCCGAATTAAAAATCTAAACATCAAAAGAACCTTATTAAATCCAATAAAAATATTAAACTGCATATAAATAAAAAACTTCAACTATTTGGCAACGTATCGTGTCGCGTGGTCAAAGCATCAAATCAAAGCGTATTTTATACACAGGTACGAATAGAGGTGGGTCGTTGACGTCGCAAAACCGATTTTCGTAAACAAGTAACTATGATTTTTTAACAGTAGTTTCAAATAAGAGAGTACTACATAAACAAACATAATGGCTATTGTCGTTTATGTGTATATTTATTGAAATGAAAGGGATATATTTATTATAACTTGAAAACTAAACAATACAAATAGTAAATCGTACTTACGTTTACATTACACGTTATTATTAAATCACGAATAGTCTAAATTGACATTTAAAAACATAAGTTTTTCTACTTTTCTTCTTGTTTACCGTATTCTTCTTTTATTTAAAATTAAACCAGATTTTGAACATGTGTTCACATTTACAATAATTTATGAATATAGTGGTTAAGTTAGGATATACCTACATGGCGATGGTTTTTCCACCATTGTAATGGACTCTCGATACATGTGTACGTTTAGATAAGTCATGTCCAATTAGTTGATTAAAAATACACCATGGACTTAAGTCATCTTTATCGGTTTCTTTTTCTTGTACTGGTTGATTTTCACTAGTTCAATCTTCTTATTGTTCTGAAGCTATTTTCTTGTGGCATTTTAAATTAATTACTATTTAACTATAATTAATTAAATTTTCTTGTTCTTTAATTATAGAAGTAACCAGCTTCTTAAATCTTTCTTTTGTTTTTTTAGCGTCATTTTATCAGAAAATCCCTGCACTTTAAATCGTGAAGCCATAAATGTACATAATGACAATGTGCCACTCTGTTCTATCCCTTTAAATCTTTTTGCTAAACCCGATATTAGTAATTGTACTACGTCGGATACTATGGATGTAAGGTTACCGTTTACTATAATTTTATTGCAAGATTCTTGCAGGCAGCGTACCATAACAATCACTGAACTACCCTTCAAGTATTTTTGGCCACTCATTGTACTTGTTATTTCTTTAAACGGCTGTAAAATTTGGGAAAGTTGAGAACAAATAATCCAGTGTTCTTTATTTAGATTTGGTCTTAGTCTTAATATATCCTTCGTTAGTTTTTTTCACTTCAATACGTGTACACATAAACGATAATAGCCAATATGTTTGTGTACTCGCTAATTTGAATACTGGTAAACAATTAACTAGTACAGTTTACGAAAAACAGTTCCGATAAAAATTTAAAAAACTAGAGGATTCACCTCTAGTTTCTTAGCTATATTAGGATCGGAACCAGCGAATATGTAAAATATCTCTGATCGGAACTAATCGTCTCACTAATGGGCAATCGGCGTTAAAAAGATTTATGGAGGGGAGACCAAGGGGAAATATGATTGTTATCTTTGTCTATTCGCTGAAAATATGATTTTATATCTGTGTTAGATATCCTGTTAAATTTTACCATACCGACCATAAACTTTTACCTACACTGTATATAAAATAACACTAAGTTCTTGCCAAAAACCGCGTTGCGAATTTAATGCTCGACGAGCCATTTTCAAGATGGATACGGTTCCCTTCGAGGTCGAGGTCTCAATCTACCTACTCCTCTCACTCGTGACGTATCAATATCGTGTTCTGTATAAATACAAGAGCCATCAAACGGCACTAAGGTCTCAATCTGCCTAGTCCTCAGTGTGGAGTGAAGCTGTTTCTCAGAATGTTGTTAACGCGATATAAAGCAATAAAAGTTTGCAGAATGTACCTACTAAATTCTAGTAAAAGGATTTTCATGCAGTTTCATGTTGGCCAATCTCTTTTTAATGACTTCTTGAAAATCAGGATGATTTTTCAACAGATTAGGATCCTTAAAATTTTTTGTTGCACCTAACGTAGTCAGCATCCCCCGAGCAATATCTTTTAAACCGTTTGTACAATCTGAAGGGTAATCTGTAAATATCTGAAAGTACAAAAATGATTTAAATTTAAATCTAATATATTACTTTTACATTCACTGATATTATTTGGTATTTTCCAAATAATATCTTTCAACCCATATTTTTTTAGCTATTTTATAAGTAATTGGTGTGAAAATAAAATTAGTTCTATAAAAATTAAATAAAAACAAATTAATTTTTCGTTTTTGACCAATTTTCTTTACTCGATGTTGATCTAACGGGTAGCAGTTTGTACTGGGTGGTCCAATAAGCCGATCTCTCGGCTATATATCAGAAAATCTTAATGTTATAAATTTAGGAGAAAAAAAGTAAAAGTGGGTAAGAAAAATCGCTGGAAATAACTTTCAAGTTTCTAGGTTTACCGCTAGGGGGCGTAACCTGTGAAGAAAAATTTGAAATCCAGTTTTTTGTGAAATATGCCCATTTATACCAAGTGTTAAATAAGTAAACTAGAAAGAGGCCAAAATTACGCACAAACTTGTTTAAGTACTTTTTTTTATTTTTTCAAATTAAGGGTGGGGGAGAGTGGGAAAGTATTTGTGGATAAATACCCATAACTTTGGTTTGAATCAACCGATTTTAACTAAATTAGTGTCGTTAGAAAGAGTGTGGATGATTCAATTTAAATCTACTATAAAATAATTGCATTTAGTTTTAATTGCCATGGTTAGGGGTATCAAAGGGTTTCAATCAAAGGGTGGGAGCTAATCTTAATGCTTTTAGGTCCTTTCTCACGAAAGAATTATTCATTGGCAAAAGTCAAGCGACAGTCACCGAAATTACTATTCTGTTGTCTCTTTAAAAAAAATTAAATAAACCACATGTTTTGTGGGACTAGAAACCTTAAATTATTTTATTGGTCAACTTTAGCATGGTTCTGATTAATATTCGTTCTATAAGACATAAAACAAATGAATTATTTTTATTTCTAAAGGAATTAGAATTTCCCCCGATAGTTGCAGTTACAGAATACTGGCTTGAAGTTAACGAGCCCTTTTTTGTAGAAAAAATACCACAATTACTAGGTATGATCGCCAAAGTGCAGTTCATGGTGGCACTCTAATTCTTTCTACAAATAATGATTTGTCTCCTATAACAAAATATGACTTTCTATTGAATAAAGCCTTTTTGAGTTTTCACTGATCTTAATCTATACATTCTTTGCATTTATAGATCACCACTCTTCCACGGAACTATTTTTTCAGAACCTGTTAAATGTGTTAGACAACCTGCCTGATAAAAGCAGAAAAATTATATGCGGTTACTTTAGTATTAATTAGGCTGTTGTCTGTGCTACCCAATTATCGTTGGTCAATATATTCGAATCGTATGGTTTCACAATACACGTTAATTCTCCTACAAGAATTACTAAAAAAGCTGCCATAATTTATTATATTGTTTGAGATTTCTCACACTTCGATGTACATTATCATTATCACGTAGCGCTACAACCTTGGGTGGGTCTTGGCTGACTGTACAACTTTTTTCAATTTGTTCGGTCTTCCATCAACCTTGGGTCAAATGGAATGTTCATTTTCCGAAGATTTGCTTGGATATTAGAAGCTTAAAGATCAGTATCGTTGATTCTGATCTGAAAATTTCTTGGTATGTTTATAAACAGCAATCTTAAATGGTCCCTTCATATCGAGTTGTTAAGTAAGAAACTAGCCTCAGCCTATTATGCAATATGATTTGTTTTATAAGAAAACTATTTAGTATCTTCCAAAATAACATATTTTTTTTGTTTGAATCTCATCTTCGGTATGGTCTGGCTCTAAAAGAGCAATACGGTATCTTTTTGGTCTCAAAAGAATAACACGGGATTTTAACTCACCCATCTTTATATATTTTAGAAACTGTTTGCTTAATTCGCTAACACCTACATGTTTTTGCAGCAAGACCTAATCATGACTACGCCACCAGAAATTCAACCTTCGATGTGTATTTACCGATACCATCTCCCTTTGCAACTTAAATCTGCATCTTTTTTTCTTAAGTTCCGTAAAATGACAAAAGCCTATCTATCTGAAAGACCGTATTATTCAGTAGAACAGTTTCTTAACCAATAAATAAGACATTAAAGTACCTGTATGTACTATAACTAAGGCAGCGTTTCTCAACCATTTACCAGTTGCGACCCAATTTTATATAATTATTTTCACCGCGCCCCCCCCTCATACATCCTGTACCGACTTACAGGGGGAGGGTGGTACATGAACTTTTTTCGGTGGTACCGAAATTTTTTTAAGGCACTTTTCACACACTTGAGTGCCATAAAGACCTTATCGTTATTAAAGTATATTTATTTGTCAAATTTTTTAGCCAGTCTCTCTGGATCCGCCCTTGCACTAAATTTACAGTAAAACCTTAATTACTAAATTACCGAGAATAAGTAAATTTATTGATATGTGGCAACACCAATCCAGAACCGATCGTCTCTCTTCGCGAGAAGTTCCGAGTTCTCCTCTCTCCTCCTCAGACAAAGATCTTAGTCGAGTCAGTTTAGTCAGTCCAGTCAGTCCTTCCGCACCTGTTAAATTTATTGTGAATGTTTATGTTGTAGTTTGCGTGTATTAATTGCAGTTCACAGTAATAAAATATTCCAAGCAGTAGGTAAATATACTTAAATTTATACAAAATCATGGATAAATTTTTAACTTGGCGTAAGTGAGCATTCGATACTAGTGAAGCATCAACAAGTGTACAGGCGAGAGTGGTTCCAAAAATAAAATCAAGAAGATATTCTCAAGATTTCTTAAATTTTGAATTTACGTTTATTGAAGTAAATTAAAATGAAGAAGAACGGTCTCTATGTATCATTTGCTCAAAAATTTTAGCAGCCGACAGCATAAAACCAAATAAGCTTAAAAGAAATTTCGAAACGCTTCATAGTGAGGGCAATAATCAACCCCGAGAATGCGTCAAGTTAAAATTAAAATCACATGAAAAACAAAAATCATTTTAAAAAACTTTGTCTGTGAATGAAAAAGATTTACTTGCCTCATAAAGCCTCCCATCAAATAGCTAGGTGTAAAAAGCCTCACACTATTGGTGAAGAGCTTATTTTCCAGCTGCAATTCAAATTGTAGAAACTATGTTTGAAGATAATTTTGCCAAAAAATTGGAGTCTATACCTCTATCAAATGATACTGTTGCCCGTTGAATTTGTGATTTAGCTGAAGATGTACAGGATCAGCTACTCGGGAAGTTGCGCGACAAGCTGTTTTCGATTCATCTTAATGAGGCAACAGATAGCAATAAAGATGCTAATTTTATTGCCTACGTTTGATTTTGTGATGGCATATCATTAGTAGAAGAACTAATTTTTTTCAATCCAATAGAACTGAAAGCAACGTCGCTCGCATTATTTGCTATCTTAAACGATTATATAAATGAAGCCAAAATAGAGTGGAAGAATTGCGTCGGAATATGCACAGATGGTGCTCGTGCAATATCCGGAAAATTTCATAGTCTACAAGCGCTTGTGAAACAAAAGTCTCCAATGTGTATATGGACATACTGTATGATCCACAGAGAAGCTCTGGCTTTTAAAGAAATGTCTCCTGGCCTGAATATTGTGCTAACAACGGTTGTAACAGTAGTTATTTACATAAAAATGAGACCTTTGAAAACCAGAATCTTTTCTGCACTTTGTAAAGACATGAGTGCATTACATTCAGCATTATTCTTTTATTGTGATACAAGATGGTTATCACGTGGCAAATTTTAACAACGTGTTTTTGAATTAATACATGAAATCGCTATTTTTCTCGAAGAAGAAAATAGACCGGAAGCCGCGATGTTTATTTTTGATGAAATTGAGCTACTTTTTTGACATATTCGAGAAACTAAATATTTTGAACATTCAGCTTCAAGGAGCCAATACACATATATTAGATACGAGTGATAAAGTTAATGGCTTTTGTAAAAAAATGGAATTGTGGAGCAGAAATTTAAAGCAAAAAACCTAGAAATGTTTGCAAATGTGGATGAATGTATTAAAACTTACAAGGTTGAAGAACAACACGTGAAAGTTGTTTTTGTAACCACTGAAAATCATTTAGCGATGCTAAAATTTTATGCGAGTGGGTTAGGAATCCGTTTCAAATTACACCGGAAGGGCTCTCTACTGCCGAAGAAGAAACCTTCATTGACTTTACGGCAAATGATGAAATCAAGAAACAGTTTAATAATAAATCCCTCTTTGAATTTTGGGCAGGAATAAATGATGACTTTTCTGCACTGAAAATAAGAGCGTCCCGTATACTAGTGCCGTTTTCAACATCCTACCTTTGCGAAACAGGATTTTCTGTGGTGGCTGCTTTGAAGACCAAATATAGATCGCAGCTAAATATAGAAAAAGAACTGAGAACGTCTATTTCTAATATTAAACCCCGTTTCAATAAACTTTGCTCTACAAAACAAGCTCAGGGAAATCACTGATTTATCTATTCATAATTGTACCTGTTATATCAGTGTTCATGTATATTTTATTTTTATTTTGTAAGAATTTTGTAATTGCTTTGATTTTAGTAAATTAATCAATGTTGTTGATGTTTTTTTCGAATAGGCTCACGCCCCCCTAATAATAATACCGCGCCCCCTAGGGGGGCGCGCCCCACAGGTTGAGAATCACAACTAAGGTATTTAAATATATATTTGGGTATCACATGCAGCAACTTAAACATATTAGTTCGTAGGGTTTTATTATGAAATTTACAAATTATTAAAATTTTAAAATGGATTGTGTATTTTATTATCCCTTATTTTGTGATATTGAAGATTTATGTAATTTCAAAATTTTTTCGTAAGCTTTGTCCATAAAATAGTACAATTCTCATTAACAATAAAGAATATTTCTATTCTATAATAATGGCCAATATATTTTTTTATAAAAAAAAAAAAAAAAAGGCAGCAAAAACATCTTGGTTTACATTAGATATTAAACAAAAACGTAACCAAAGATAGAAAGTTTTCCTAAAATGTAAATCAGAAAACACGAATGAATCTTACCAATAATATAAGAGAATAACAACTGAAACTGATCTATTGGTAATGAAAACAAAAAGAGAATATTGAGAAAGATTTACAAAAGAACTAGAGATTTCTACCGACAACAGAAACAAGTATGGCGCTTAGAATACCAGACGAATGGAGGAGTATCTTAGTAAAGTTTATACACTAATACTTCGTTGGGAGCTTCTTTAACTTTCTTTACGTATCGCGCTAATGTTTGATGTCTAATACCATTTCTCTCTGCTGCTATACTGAGGCTAAAGAGACAGATCGGAAGAAGAGCAGTAGGCCTTTCAGTAGGAAAAGGAGGTCCGACAACATCAGTTGATAATAAATGAAATGAGGTTGAATGCTCGAATAAATGAACTTTGAAAATAAGGCTATTATCAAGCACAAGTTAATTAAATCTAGCCCAAGTACTTTCGCTTAAAATAGCATCTTCAGGGGCATTTCGTCAAAATAAGAACTATCCAGCAAGCGTAGAATGTGGAAACATTAAAAATAACATAAATTATACAAAAACACTACACTAAAACGAGGACAAACAGTTTAAAAAAATTCTGTTTTTTAAATTTTTTTTAAACTGTTTGTCCTCGTTTTAGTGTAGTGTTTTTGTATAATTTATGTTATTTTTAATGTTTACACATTCTACGCTTGCCGGATAGTTCTTATTTTGACGAAATGCCCCTGAAGATGCTATTTTAAGCGAAAGTACTTGGGCTAGATTTAATTAACTTGTGCTCGATAATAGCCTTATTTTCAAAGAACATCAGTTGAGGCTAAAAATTGAAGTAAAACAGACATGAACCTACTAATAAACCAGTAAGAAGAAGACTTAATATTTACCTGGTCATATCTCCTGGTTGATGCCGATTTTTATTTAATTTAAAAATTGACTTTCTTATCAGTGATAAGTGTAGATTTTTTATTAGTTTCTAATAAGTTGAAAAATAATATAAAATTCTTCAAAATCAGCATAACTTAAAAAATATATAAATATTAATCAAAATGGCTTCTTAGTTAACAACGTAAAAATGCGGCAATCCACTAAAATAAATTAAAAAATCGAAAATGTTGGCCCCTAAAAGTAAACAAAATTTAGACATCTTCCAAAGAACGCTATGAATTGTTTTAAAAAAGATGATACTTTATGAATGTCTTGAGGGGATAAAACTGCTTAAATTATTATCATCTTAGGTAGTAAATTCGTCCATTTATAAGATATTTGCGTACTGTATCTACCATAGTACACAAGTATACCACCTCATATGTATGTACGTGTGTCAACTACTTTATTGTGCCTGCATGTATGCGAGTATTGGGACTTTCGTGATAAAATACGCGTGTGTGTATGTGTGTGTGTGTGTGTGTGTGTGTGTGTGTGTGTGTGTGGTGTGTGTGTGTGTGTGTGTGTGTGTGTGTGTTTGTGTGTGTGTGTGTGTCTTTATGTGTGTGTATGTGAATTTGTTCGTGTGTACCTATATAAAGTGTATATTTGTGGGTCTACGATAGTTTCAACATTAACTGATATAGTTATTGTCTACTTAGGTTTACTTATATTATAAAGACTTACCACAGTGTGAAATAATCCAGGATTCTGCCAATGCAACTGTAAGAGCATATTTTTTAAATCTATAATACGTTTGAAAAACGGTGCTAATTTATCATATCTTAGTGCATGAATCCTGTCTGAAACTGAAAATAATAATATAATAATAGTTATTTTAGTATCAAACTAACAACGTCCACCCAGCAAGCTAATATCGTATGTATATATGCAGTAAATGGTTTCTAACAGTTAATATGATTTTCTTAATCAATAAAACCATACCTTACATTGTAGCATTTGCAATTTCATTGATTCTTTGGTGCATATTGAAATCTTCTCGTATATGTAATATATTGAAATCCCCTCATAAATGTTTGAAAAATCGCAGAATATTTTTTTATTCTATTTTAGTTTCCTATTTATACGTATTAAAACACTGAATTCTTTCAATTTAAAACCCAAATAATATTTCGTTCTTTTCAGCGTCGCCAAGTAATAAAACCACAGTGAGGACAAAAAGAATATTAGAAACAGTAGAAATGAAAATACTTAAAAAATTAATGGTAAAACACTATGGGACAGAGGTAGAAGTACAGATATACGACATAGATGCAAGGTGAGGAACAGCAAGATTTTGGTAAGAAATAGAAGAGCAGAATGGAACAATTATATTAGGCGAATGACAACAGATAGAATAGTAAAGACGGCAAGAGACGATTCTCAAATAGGAAGATGATCAGTAGGAAAACCACGAAAACTATGGAACGACAACTTACTGAAGGCACATTGAAAAACGGAGAGTTATTTCTACATAAAAAGAAGAAGAAAAAGAAGATAAGAAGGAATCATTAAACTTATTGACATCTGGTACGTTTCCCAAAATCTGTTCTCAGTATTAGGAACTCAAAACAAAAATCCAAACAGTGTTTTTACATCTAGTGTTACACGCTGTCAACTACAAATTATTAAAAAACTGTTACTGCTGGAACAAGAGAAGTAAGAGCTTTATTTAAATGTGCCACTGAAGCAATGATTCCACAACAACAAAGATTGAATGTCTGGCTAAATAGGTCTTGTACCTAAGGCAAAAAAAAAAGATTGAAGGGGTGGATTGAGTGTCTCTGCGGACCACAGCCGGTCTCGAGCCCGTATAAAATGTAACGCTTTTTTCAACGTTTTGTTTTTGTGCCGTTGGTTTGGTCGCAGTTTTCTTTATTTTTTCTTTCACTGTCTCAGTTTTCATTTCCACTACAGTGTTGTAATATTTATAAGTATATACCGTATGGTGGAAATGAAAGGAATAAATTCGTTATTTCGTAAACCGGAGACTTTAAGGAAAAATCCTGAAACCGTCGATTTTTATTTTTAAATAAGCTATTCGTAAGGATACATTTTTATTTTTGACGTCATCTATGTGAGCGTGATGACGTCATTGCTAAAATTTTTGAATAGAAAGGGGGTATTGTAATACATCATTTGAAAGGTCATTTAAATACCTATTTAGCTATATCAATATGTCTAAGTAATTAAAGTTTGTAATTGTTTAAAAAAATAATTAAATTTTTATTATTATAATAAATATTTATTAAGTATTATTCAATAAATATAACGAAACTTAAATTAAGTGCTCAAATTGTTTACCTTCAGCTAAAATACAATGAGAAAGGCGTGCCGCGAACTCTTCTCTAACATTCTCTAAAACTTCCGGAGTTATTTGAACAACCTCGTTACCTATTCTTTCTTTCAGTTCATTAATATTTTGTGGTCTATTTTGATACACCTTACTTTTTAAATATCCCCATTAAAAGAAATAAAAAGGAGTCAAATCAGGTGACCTAGGCGGCCACTCTATTGTTCCTCTTCGACCTATCCACCGATTTGGAAAGACGTTGTTTAAGTAGTTGCATATCAAGACAGCACAGTGTGGAGGCGCACCATCTTGCTGTAGCCATAAATCATTTCTGTTTGGAAACAACCGGTTCAATTCTGGAAGCAAGAAATTTTTAAGAAATTCTAAATATCGAGGACCTGTTAAGTTTTCTTCGAAAAAGTATGGTCCAATACACTTATTATCTATAATTCCCACCCAAACATTAATTTTCTCTGGGTATTGAGTACGATACTCTTGCATCCAGTGTGGATTTTCCGTAGCCCAGTACCGATAAGTTTGACGATTGACATGACCGTTTAGTAGAAATGTAGCTTCATCAAAGAAAATAATCTTTTATAAAAACATCGGATCTCTGTTATTTCGTTCCATTATAATGTCACAAAATTCAATTCGTCTATCAAAATCATCTTCCATAAGTTCTTGTACTAAACTTACTTTGTAGGGATGCCACTTTTCCTTCTTTAGCTGTTTAAGAACTGGTGAATGGTCCATGTCATTATTTAATGCTACTTGCCGTGAACTGTTATGAGGATTATCTTGAAAAGCTAACAGAACGTCTACTTGTTGGTTTTCAGATATTGGTTTTCTACTACCTTTAGGAAGGTCTTTAACATGACCCGTTTCTCTAAATTTTTTCTTAATTTTGCTTACAGCGGATTGTGAAATTGGTTCTCGACGGGGGTATTTATTATTAAATAACGCACATATTTCTTTCTGCGTACGTGTTTTATCTCCATAACCAATCATTATGAGAATTTTAATTTTTGCATTTCAATTAGCTTCATGTTCAAAGATACAAAGACTTTTTGAATACGTTTACTACAATAATACTATTAATCACTTGACAGAAAGATAATTAAGTTTGGAAGTCCAACTATCAATGTTCATATTGATAAGGTAACTAGTTTTTTTAAAAAGGTAAAAAGTAGATAAAAAAGACATTTCATTACCAGTGATGGCCTTTATCAGATTTATTTTTGAGTGTCAATAATACATCATATCAATACTTAATAAATATTTATTGTAATAATAAATATTTAATAATTTTTTTAAACAATTAAAAACATCAAATACTCAGACATATTGATATGGCTGAATAGGTATTTAAAGACCTTTCAAATGATGTATTACAATAACCCCCTTTCTATTTAAAAATTTTAGCAATGACGTCATCACGGTCACATAGATGACGTCAAAATTAAAAATGTATTCTTACGAATAGCTTATTTAAAAATAAAAATCGACGGGTTTCAGGATTTTTCAATAAAGTCTACGGTTTACGAAATAACGAATTCATTCCTTTCATTTCCACCATACTGTATATTATAGTGATATTCCTCGGAAATTATTGCAGTCTAACTTCTTATGTATAGTGCATATAATTTCCATTGTTCCGGCATTTTTTCTGTATTCCATATCTCCACTTGAGTGCAAAAAAATCGATTCAAAATTATTTTGCGAAAGTACGTCTCCTGTTTCAATCAAAAAAGGTGTAAATTTAAAAATATTTAGTGTACAATTATTAACCTCATTATTGAGTTTGAAAAAAGTTTTGATTTTTGGTAAATCGGATGACGTATTACAAATAAATAATACAACACGTAGAGAGGGGGACATAATTTGACCCATTGAAATCGACACGCACCCGTTTAACACATTTGGTTAACATCGTAAGCATCAATTTCCATAGCAACCCACTAATACATCAGTCAATTAAGTTCGCAACTTCATAGCAAATGGATACCACATCCGTCAAAGCAGCTCAAGCAGTAGCATTATTGAGAGAAGACCTGAGCCAGAGAGCCGTGGCAAATCGACTAAATTTAAGCCAATCTGCTGTGTCCCAAGTGTATCGACGGTACCAAGATACTGGTGATTATGTCTGCCGACAAGGAGGAGGCCGTAAACGAATAACAACAGAGAGAGATGATCGATTTCTTGTATCTAAATCTCTGAGGAATCAACATTTGACTGGTGCTAATCTCAAAGAAGAGGTTAGAGCGGTCCGAGGTGTGATTACCAGTGTTTGGACAGTCAGAAGGAGACTGAAAGCAGCCAACCTGATACCAAAAAGGGCAGCTACTGGTCCCAAGCTAACTGCAGCCCAGAAGCAAAGACGACTAGAATTTGCTCGCGAACATCTGGATTGGGACGACTTTCAATGGAGTCAGGTATTATTCTCCGACGAAAATAAGATCTGCCTACATGGCAACGACAAGAAGTGTCGAGTCTATAGAAGGCCAGGGGAACGATTTGCTCAATGTTGTATATAAAAAATTGTGTCATATGGAGGCTGTTCTTGTATGTTTTGGGCAGGCATTTCCATGGATGGGAAAACCGAACTAGTTTTCGTGCCTGGTGGGGGACGTGGAGGAGGTTTAACGGCGGATTGTTACATCAGAGATATTTTGGAGGAACATGTGGTTCCATACGCGGGATTTATTGGTAATGCCTTTATTTTATTGCATGATAATGCACGATGTCATACCGTACGAGTCACCACCACCTATCTGACTGAGATCGGTATACCTACAATAAATTGGCCTGCGTTGAGCCCGGACATAAATCCAATAGAGCATGTTTGGGATGAGCTTAAACGAAGGGTCCGGAGCAGAAATCATGCACCAACGAGCATTATGGAATTGAGAGCTGCGCTTAATGATGAATGGGAAACAATGCATCAAGAATTTATTAGAAATATGTCATCCGATCCATGAGAAATCGATTGGAAAGTGTAATTAGGAATAGGGGTGGTAATATCAGATACTGAAAAACAAAAAATTCATTTTGTAATTGATGATTTCTCTGTTCATTACGTCTTTCTTGGGATAGTTCCAATAATGAATATTTGAGAAACTCTATTCTTATTGCATATTGTTTTTATAATGCGTCTTCCAAATAATAAAATAGCAGTTTTTGTAAGTTCAACAATAAAGTTACTGTTTGCACATTACATCTTGTTATTTTCATACTTTTTACATTAAAACAGAAGGTGTAATCTCAAATATCGCTTTTGAGTCGATTGTTTTGCACTCAAGTGTAGTATTAACTTTGATACTTCACTTTGTATTTCATGTCCTCCATATTTTAATATTTCTACAGTTAGTGTATCACATCCTGGGGATTTTTTGTCTTTCATTTTTTTATTACATATTTTATTTCTTCTTCTATTAGTGCATATAGGTCTGCATCAGTTTTTCCTACTAATCTTAGCTCTTCTATTTCGTAACGTTGATTTTAATTATTCAACAGTTCTTTAAAATATTCTGTCCAACATTTTCGCATTGCCATTTCGTCTGCCATTAGCTCACCATTTTTGTCTTTGCATAATTGTGTTCTTAGTTGGAAATATTTTTTCTCAAAATGTATTTCCTTATATATCATTTTTCTGTTTATCTTCTTCTAGCTTTGTAATTTGTTCTTTATTTTGTTTTCTCTTTTTAAATCTAAGATGGTTTTTAATTATCGTCTACTTGCAATATATTCCTCTCTGGTTTCTTTCATCCTGTTGATCAGCATTTTAAGCCTAGCTTACCAGCATACCATCTTTTTTTGCTAGCTTTTTGCTTTCCTCCACTATGTCTTTTGCAGTCGTTATAATTGCTTCTTTTAAAATTCCCCACTTGTCTTTGATATTTCTGACCTGATGTTTATTTACTTTATTACATTATTCAATTGTTTTCTATTTTCGTTTCATATCTTGCTCTTTTCTTGCGGTTTATATCTGAGGAAAATCATTAAAAACAATTGAAAATATATATAGTAGATACAATCCAAGCCAAAATAAAAGAGGGCTACTAAAAGGGCCTCTACTGATAGACTGATATGGCACATGTCCAATAGAGACATATCAAATAATAACAAGTAAAATATAAACACTTATATAATATACAATAGTACTATGTTATTTGTGCTTATTTTGTAATAAAAGTCGTGCTTACTTGAGGTATAAACAGTTTTAGAGGATTTTTCTTTGACATCCATCGAACTCAAAACACTTAATAAAGGATTCTCATCTGCTTGACTCCTAAAACCTCTTAAAATATGTGCATCACTTATACTTCTTAATTGTTCTCTTCTTGGTTGTGCAGATATAGATTCATCTGCATATATAAAGGGCAAGTCAAAACGATCAAAAGATACTTTTCTGTCATCAATTTTTTCGTTTGACGTAGATTTCTAAAATATTTAAATGTTATTTATTTTTTACAATTATATAATTTACTTGAAATAAAACAGAAAAATAGTTAACCTGTGCCTAACACCACGCAACCTGTGCCATCTATGAGCGAGAACACAAAGTTTATAACCACTCATATCCTTATGACTTGCATGACTCTCCTTCAACTTACGTAAATTGCATTTTATCTTTTCCATCGGTTCCATCTGGCCAACTCTTGTATTTCCGATCCTGAATGGCTATTCAGTTTCCGAGGGTAGACGGGTTACTATTTTCCTCCCACTGTGTATATATTAAGTTAATGTGGAAACAATCGTGCCAAGAACTAAATCGTAATATAACACGTGACCGCGAACGATGCCCTCGGGACAGCAAGCGAAGTCCCATTGACGATCAGTAATGTTCCTGTACGCAAGGTTTTGCAGCTATCCCAGAATTTTCAGCAGGTAACCCTGCTCCTATGAATAGTCACATAGCAAGCAGGGTAAGCGCAGTGTTTAAATGCCAAAACCTAAACCTCAAACTAACCCCACACAAACCGCGTCAAAGTCATCAACCTCACGATTGCTACGTTTAATGCCCTATAGCTAGCTATCAAAGAAGTAAAAGGGGATATAGTTAATAGAGGGTAATAATTCTAGTAGAGGAAATAGCAAGAAGCCGAGCAGGAAAGCAAACCTATCGTGTATAAGGACCTGATTGGAAAATCTATTTCCTGGAGGCGAGAAGGAAGACGAAAAGGAAGAAATGTGGAATGAGATTATCCACGTCCTTAATTTGGTGATACTTACCGGTAAGACGACCTTAGTTAGCAGAAACAGCCGGGCACATATCAATGTCATAATGATAACGACGCCGAAAAGTATAAATGTGGTAGAGTGGTACTCGATAGAGAAATATTTATAAACAGATTATGTAGGTACCTATATAGACCAGAGAAATTAGCACATAAAAAGCCTTTTTCGTGACACTCTATGATACAGGTATCTAACAACTGCTTTTGATAAATGTGGTGATAACAATGTGTAATAAACAAATTACTAGCGATAATCTGAAGATGATTTATAACTTTGCTAAAAATGCACAAAAAACTTTAATTTTGTTTATAGGGATTTTTGATTATAGGGACAATACCACATGTATTCAGCTAGACAAATTTGAAGAATCTTCTCTTAACAGTTATTCACAACTCTGGCCGTCCGGACAACTCCCTCCGAAAGCATATTGAGCGAACCACCTCTAAACCACCGAAGAATATACTTAGCTCTAGCACATGCCACATCTATAGCCTCAAATATAAACAAACCTCTCTTCTATAATACTTTTAATAACAAATATATCAATGTTTACAATAATAAGCCCGTGTCATCAAACCTTACTACAAGAGAATCCGATTATATAGTTATAACCTGAACATTCAGTTCCCAATAGTATTTCAAACGAATTCCAATCATTATCTACGTTAGACTGTCAAACAACCCAAAGTGATTACAGCGTTAAGTATATATGATAAACATAAAACTAGTCCCATTGTTTTTAAAGTCAAACTAAATTCAATCATTGACCAACAATACAATGACTAGATTAAAATTTATACAGATGCATCCAAATGTGAACTTGGCGTTGGAGCAGCAGTGGTAACCCCAAATGACTCTTTTCAATTTAAACTTCCTCTATACTTCAGCATCTATACTGCAGAACTACTTGGTTTGTTCAAAGCCATTAAACATGTAAATATTAAAAACCTCACTTGTTGTCTGGTCATTTCCGACTATCTCAGCGCAGTCAAAGCTACGCAAAATGTATTTCCTAAACACCCATTCAGAAAATGGTCAAGGTTGAACTAATGGAAGCTCAAGAAAATTTCAGAAGAATCCACTTACTGTTGATATCATCTCATAATTATAGGTATAGAAGGGAATGAACAAGCAGATGTTAGTGCGGGTAACGCTATCACAAATGAGGCATCAGAAACTGAGTGTCGGAGTGTCGCTAGCGATCTAAAAGTGTATTTCAAAATAAGGTGTTAAGTGCGTTGAATCGGGAGTGGAATGATTCCGGTTATAAACTCAGAACAATCAAAAATGACATTTATTCATGGAAGTCGACTGCCAGAAGCAGAAGATCTTAATTAATATTACACGACTACGACTTGGACACTGTATGCATACTCACGCCTATCTCTTCTCAAATAGTGAACCACCAAAATGCGAAATATACAATACAGTAGACAGTATAAAGCACTCCTTGATAGACTGTCCTAAATATATAAATTAAAGACATTCTTACAATTTTCCAAATAACCCGAAAGCATTACTTACTAAAATATATAAACATGTTATACAAAATTTAACATAATTAATTGTTACAAATGTTTAATTGTATATAAATTGTAATTAATCGTTACAATGATTGATTGTTGCAAATGTTTAATTTAATATCGTTACAAATATTACAGAAATGTCGCTAATAGCCTTCGAGTTGATGCCACTTTGTTTTTTTAAATAAAAAAAAAGTAATGACGTTCTATGAAAAAATGAAACTAAAGAATTGTCTGTTAAATCATATTTTACTTACTTCGCCTAATTTTTCTTTATGTGCTTGAATAGATCGACCTGACAATATAGATGCCTTTAAATCATCTGATTCACTTTTTTTTAAATCGTCTATTTCATCCACAACTCCAGAAATATTCTCAGATTTGTCCTTATGTTGTGCTAATTTGTGATCAAAGTTTATATTTTGAATATTACATAGAACAGGGTTTGTTTCTTGACTCTATAAAATTCATATATTAAACTAACCATTTTGTGGATGTTAAAAAATAAGACAGAAGGATTACTCAGGCTAAAAGAAATAAAACAATTGAACAGGAACGTGTAAGGGAGTCATAATACAATCGATAAATTTGTCTAGTATTATTAGAGATACTACAATACATTGAATGTCCTACAACGAAGAAGTGAAGATAACGTTAGATAAAACAGAACAAGTTGGTTGACAGATTTATTTAAAAGAGTAATGGTAGCCCAACCAACTCCAGACGAATGCAGAAACAATATATTTTTATCGTACCTATTTACAAAAACAAAAGGGATGTCTAAAAATGCACAACTAGAGTGTCATAATACTCCTTAGTCAAATATGTAAAAGAGAGGTTATTACCAGACGAATACGTGAAAAAAGCGAAGTACGAGTATTCGAAAATTAATTTAGATTTATAAAAGCAGATCAACAAAACAAGTAATTTTATAATTTTTATTGTAAGGTAGCTGAAAAAATGTAAGAAACAAATGTCATAGGACATTCATCTTAAGAAACTATATGACACGAATTTCCCAAGAGATCGTGTAATGAGCGCTCGATAATAAATTTTATCTCTGGTGAGTATTTAAACAGTGCGAGAAAATGTATGAGGGGGTAACAACTAGTATTAGAACAAATATGGGGGAGCCTATGAGAGACTATATATGACAAATAAATTTTATGTAATAAAAGTAGGACTATATTAGGATTTCAGAGCGTCAAAGCGTTGAAATTTTGAAACGTGTCTATGAACGTGTGTGTGCGTGTGTTCGTGTGCCTGTGTATGGATGTACTCGTGTGTGCATGGGTTTGTGTTTATGTGTCAAAGCGTCAAGGTATCAAAGCATTAAAGAGTCAAAGCATTAAAACATAAAAGCATCGAATTGTAAAGTCAAAGCGTCAAAGAGTTATATCGTCAAAGACTAAAAGCACTAAATAATCGAAGCGGTAATTAGTCAAAACAAAGAGTGAAAGGGGTCAAAGCATCAAAGTGCCACAGCGTCAAAGCGACAAAACATCAAAGAGTTAAGACATCAATGCGTTAAAGCGTCAAAGTGTTAAAGTATTGAAGCGTTAAAGGGTTGAACCGTCGAATAGTCAAAGCCTTGAAGCGTCAAACCTTGAAGCATCAAAACGTTAAATAATCGAAGCATTGAGGACTCGAACCGTTAAAGGATCAAAGTATTGAAGCTTCATAGCTACATAGGTCATAGAGCCAAAGTGTTAAGGCGTCATAGGATCAAACAAAGCGTAGAAGTTTTAATGCGTTGAAGCTTTAAAACGTTAAAGCTATGAAACGTTAAATCGTCGAAGCGTTGAAGCATCAAAGTGTCAAAGTTTTAAAGCGTCAAAACGTTGACTCTTTGAAGCGTCAAACTAGTAAAGCGTTTAATCGTCAAAGCTTCTAAGCGTCACAAAATCAAAGCGTTAAAGAGTTAAAAACTCAAATCAAAGCGTCACAAAATCAAAGCGTTAAAGAGTCAAAGACTCAAATCCTCAATGCATCAAAGCGTGAAAGACTCGAAGCATTATAGGGTCAAAGTTTCAAAGTGTTAAAGTGTTAAATCGTTGAAGCGTTAAAGTTTTAAAGCTTTAAAGCGTTAAAGTTTTGAAGCGTAGAAGCGTCGACGCATTGAAGTATCAACCGGTAAATTATCAAACCTTAAAATCGTCAAAGCTTCAAACCATCAAAACGTTGAAGCGCAAAAGTGGTAAAGGATCAAAGCGTTGAAGCGTCAAGGCCTCGAAGCGTTCAAGCTTCAAAGCATCAACGCGTCAAATTGTCAAAACGTCAAAGCGTTAAAGCGTTGAAGCGTTACAGAGTTGAAGCGTTAACTGGAGTATTGTTGGTTTAAGGAGACTCGTGTGGAGACGGACCGTTCAAATAAAATGCTTTGATAACTGAATGAAAATAAATTAAATAAAATGAAATTTAAACCTTGAGCCACAAAGTTACGACATAAGTTAGATAATTATTGTGTAGTGCTATAGAGAAAACTGATGATAAGAAGTTGTGTGGCAACAACGGGATCATAAACCAAAATAATCGTTAAGAAAATTACGAGGACCATAGGGACAGAGGTAAATGGCACAGAAGATCCGGAAGTAAAAATAGAAGGTGAAGGAATTACACAAAAAATTCGGATGGCAAAAATCACCGAAGAATTGATAAAAATATAAGATGAATAATAGCCAAAGAAGGCCTATGAAAAAGTTATGTCTGTTAAAATGGTATGTTACAGGCACTTACAATTATCTGTGCTGCGAAAGGTCGGACAAGCTCTGTTCGTATGTGATAGATGTATACCTAAGAGGAGCGTGCTTGAGATAAAGCTAGGAGGTGGGATACAATCCTACTCCCTAGAATGACCTGACCGGAGACAGAGTATTCACGAGCAAGCAGGAATTGAACATAAGGAAAATAGAAGGAAGGAGAAAAGTATTAATTAATATCCAGCGAAACGAAAATTTGGGAATTTATGAGAATTGTGTCTGAATGAAAAGGTCAACCAGGGCGATCAGACCGGTAATTCATGATTGAGAAGGATATTTTTTAGCAGATAGGTAATTTTCTTTAATTTCAATGGTGTATATAATCGTGGTCATATAGGAGGAATTCTACGTAAACAAAATTATTAAAAGCCGGTTCTGGCTACCTCATTGGACCAAGATATACATCATACATTGTTAAAACCCCAAAAGAAAGAGATAATGAAACAAGAAGTAAGCAGCTTAAAGCAGAATGTAGAGAGAATAGAAAGGGAAAAGAAAAAAAACAATGTAAAAGTAACCGGATTCCAAATGCAGACAGCAGATCCAAAAATATTAAAAAATACTATGAATTAGAAGTACAAGTTCAGGTAAAAATAGTGAAAAGGTTAGGAGAAAGAATATATAAGCAGGAGTTTAATAATGTTAAAGACAAAGAAAAAATTATGCTAAATAATGGATTTATTCCGCAATGGATAACTGAAAAAAAATTGGGGATTAAAGCATATATAATAATCACTTAACCAAACTTAGAGTAAATGATAGATTGGAATATAAGGTAGCGGACATAGAAATGAACTCCGTCTGTGGTGACAAATAGGTGACAATCAAGACAAGAAGCTTAGGAGTCACCACTGCCGGTCCTAAGCCCGGGTAAAGGAGGAAAGTTGGGCAGTGAACTGACAACCCACTTTTGAAAAAAATACACTGTGACGAAACCTAAACATTTGCCTCGGAATACAGGATGGAATTTTCGAAAATGACTCAATCTACGAAACATGAATAATATATTCTAAAACTGGAATGTGAGGACACTAAATAAACCAGAAGACTGGTTTTCTAACTAAAAAGATGTAAGTTCATGATTACTGCTTTTAAGGAGACAAAATGGCTGGGGAAAGGTGTCAGAGACACTAAAACGCACACAATTCTATAAAGTGGGAAACAAACAATGTGGATATAATACCATATACATAAGGAGTTGCATTTGAGGTGAATAATGATTTTAAGTAGAAAATTATGGACTTCCAGACAGTCAGTGAAAGGATATGCAAGTTAAGAATTTGCACCCACTTCTTCAACTTAATAATGATAAACATTCACTGCTCAATAGAAGAACAAGAATAACATACAAAGGAAAGCTTCTACCAACAGCTGGAGATACTATATGACAATAAGCCCAAAAATGACATCAAGATTATGAAGGGTGATATGAATGCTAAAATAGGCAAGGAGACACAGTTCTATGGCACAACAGAAAAACACCCACTGTATAATGAAACAAGCGAGAATCGATAGTTTTTAATAAATTTTGCCATGAGTCAAAACATAGTTATACGTTCCACATGCTTTTCACATAAAGATATACACAAAATGACATGAATTTCACCACATGGAATCACAACCAATCAAATCGACCATGTGCTGATAGACAAAAGGGTAGCCAGTAGTATCTCAGATGTGGGAACACGACGAGGAGCATGCTGTGGATCAGACCATACTTTACTCCAAACCAAATTTAGATGCGGAGTTAACAAAGAAAGAAACAAAAGGCAACAAAGAACAAACAAACTAGACCTGAAAAAACTTAAAATTCGGGAGTGTAAAGAGAAGTTCAAAGAAGAAGTCACAAATGAGTTAAAAACGCTAGAACTGCACTCCATAGAGGGCAAATGGAATAATATCAAAACAGCAGTACTGACAGCGGCAGCGTCCATCCCGGGAAACAAGAAAAAGGCAAGAAGAGGAGCATAGTTCGATGAGGTGTGCAGACAAGCAATAGAGGAAAGGTATGAAGCACACAAAATGTAGATAACAAGAAGAATACTGGAAAGACGAACATCATTTGAAGTCGCAAGACAGAAAGCTGACAAGATATGTAGAAATAAAAAAGATATGAAAATGGAAAAATGGAAAAAATGGAAGAATATTTTAAAAATAACGAAATTAGAGGGACTTACGAATACCTAAAAAAGATAAAAAGTGGGTATAAACCTCAAACAAGTCTATGTAAAGATAAAAGTGGGCAAATATTCAGTGATCACAGAAAGTTATAGAAACCTGGAAGCATTATTTTCAGACACTAGGTAGACAACAAGACATGGAAGCTAAAAGAGAATAATGTAGAGAACGGAGTAGAAGCTCCAACCATAGAGGAAGTTCTCGAAGCTGTTAAGGCCCAGAAAAACAATAGAGCCCCGAGAGTTGACGAAATACCAGCAGAATTATATAAGGTAGGTGGAGACCACCTAGAAAGTCAAATCCACACGCCCATCAAAGACATATGACAAGAAGAGAAAATACCCGACGACTGAAAGAAAAGTATAGTATGCCCAATCTATAAAAAGGGAGACAAACTCCAGTGCAAAAACTACCGTGGAGTTTCTCTACTATGTACAGTCATATACATATAAAGTTCTCACGTATATTATAAACCAGCGGCTCCAACCACTAGCAGAAAATATTATTAAAGACGGTCTTCCGACGGGGAAGATCGATATTGGATAATATTTACAGTCAAACAGATCTTACTTATCTGACAAAATAAACAAAAAGTCAATTAGCAAAAGATGGTTTCCGATAAATGTGAACGCTATTTCAAATAGTATAAAGTTCGATTTTGTACATTCATTAATATCAGAATATTTTTGTTCAATTGATTATATGCGAGTGAAGAGATCTGACACAGTTGTTTTTTGCAGGAGTGAATAGTGAGTTTATAGAATATGGAATTAGGTGTGATTATACACCAGTTAAAAAATTAAAGTTGAATCATTTATCACTTAACGAAAAGAGTGTTATCCTGAATGCCTGCAATTATTTTAAGCAACACAATTTTTCATGAGTTAAACTTTAAGAAGTACAAAAAGTTGGCAGACAGTCAATGCTTATCGATTTCAAAGAAATTGTGTGTTGGAGACGAAATTACCTCAGAAAAATAAAATAAAATGAGGACAGAAAATAAGAACATTTATTATTTAGACGAAACGTGGGTTAATGAAGGGCTTACAGTAGGAAAAGTTTAGAAAGACAAAACTATAAAAACATGTCGACAAGCATTTCTGGAAGGATATTCAACTAGTTTCAAGGAACCAACAGGTAAAGGTTGACGGTTAAAGTGTTACCCATATAGGTAGTATGAATGGATTTCTTAAGGATGGTTTACTTTTTTTTTAATCAAAAAAGACCTGCCTCTATCACGAAGAGATGAACGGAGACGTGTTTGAAGAATATTTCGAACAGATAATTGAATTGATACCTAAAAATTTAGTTATTGAGATGGACAATGCAAGTCCACTCTAGATTAGTTGAACGTTTACCAACTACTCAATGGAGGAAAGATGAAATTGCAATGTGGTTAACTTCTAATATGACAATGACAAAAGCAGAATTATTATAGAGATAGCCAAAAAACGACGAATTGAAAATACTTTGCCTACCACCGTATCATTGCGAGCTAAATCCGATTGAATTAGTATGGGCCGAAGTTAAAGGTAAAGTTGCTCGAAATAATACAACTTTTAAATTGTCAGATGTTGCTAATCTTTTTCATAAATCAATATCCGAAGTAACGACTAAACATTGGTAAAAATAATCACGTTATGGATATTGAGAAAAATATGTGTGAGCTTGTTCATATTTCAATAGATAGCAGTATAGAACCTTTAATAATTCATCTCGGATCGGATAATACTTTTACTGAAACAGAATATGAGGAAGCCTAACTTCAATCTGTAGCTTTGAAGTTTATTTTACATTTGAACTAATTTCCGTCAACTTCATTGTTTATTTTTTATTTATTTACTTTTTTATTGCTAATATAATTTTTATTCTTATCTCCAATATTATTAGTATTAAGAAGATTATTAATAGGAATGTATAAAAACTTACAGTTTTTGTGTATGTATTTTACGTTTTAGTATAATTTATTGTATTTGCGCCTATGTATTTCGAGGTTCGAAGATTAGTATTCTGAGAATTTACTCCAGCTTATTTTTTAAATATACTATGGACGATTAGTAAACGAATTTGTTACAAATGCAAAAAAGGACAAATGGACAGAATATGGAGGAAATACGGAACCAAACAGTAAAGAGATTCAAAAACTGTTCGACACGGTTCAACCCGGAAGCCTGTTTAGTTAATAATAATTCTTCTCTCTCTCTCTCTCTCTCTCTCTCTCTCTCTCTCTCTCTCTCTCTCTATATATATATATATATATATATATATATATATATATATATATATATATATATTATTAAATATATATATATATATATATATATTTATATATATATTAATAATATATATATATATATATATATATATTATTAAATATATATATATATATATATTAATAGGGCCCGCGTAGCGCAAGCGGTAGTGTGCTTGCCTCGCATGCCGGTGGTCGTGAGTTCGAATCCTACCGCCGGCAAGAACAACTAGGCATTTTTAAAATGTCTATAGGCCCCAGGTCGACTCAGCCTGAATAAAATGAGTACCTTGGGTAAAACCAGGGGTAATAATAGGCGGTTGAAGCGTAGCACTGGCCATGTTACCTTCCTTGTATACCGTAGGCCCTAGATATAGCAGACTACCCTGCTATACTCCCAAAGCCGCGTGCGGTATAAAACGGGAGACTATTATTATATTATATTATATATATATTATTAAATATATATATATATATATATATATATATATATATATATATATTATTAAATATATATATATATATATATATATATTATAAAAAATATACCTTACCTGTTTGGGACTGTCGACTTTTGCCATAACTCTAAAAAAACACTTAATATAAAATAAACAGTGTTACAATAAAGGTGTTGTTTCCAGTGTTAACACCTCTAGCCTCTCCTACTCAATTCCTATCCTCACCTCCGAGAAGTGTGATCCGGATCACACGGATAAACCCCGGTAAACCTGAGCAACCCTACTGGAGACTGGGTAACCAACCCCAGTGGAAGGTGGGGTCAGGGCTAACGAGGAAGGGAGAAATGGTCCTCCGAAAAGGGGGTTGGGCAGTAGGTTAACACCCAATGACAATGACAATACTAAACGAAACGTTACATGACAATATTAAACGAAGCGTTACCAACAATCGAATAAAATTTAAGTATAGAAGAACATTGGACTAAATGTAAAGAAGCTATGCACACAGCGGCTGAAACTGTATTAAAACCTATCAAGACCAGAAAAAACGAAGATTGGTTCGATGAAGAGTGCAGACACATCAACCAACAAAAAAACGAAGCATATAAGAGACTCCAGCAGCGCATAACGAGATTAACTCTGAAAGATTATGAAAATCTTAGAAGAGAAGAAAAGAGAATGTTTAGAAGAAAAAAGAAAGAACAATACGAACACGTATATCGTAAACGAAATTGTTAACTACCACAATGGAAAAGACTCACGAAAATTCTACCAACAGATAAACAGCTGCAGAAAAGAATTCAAATCCTAATAATAGCCTGTAAAGATAGGGACGGTTCTATAATTAGTAACAAAGAACAGATACTAAACAGATGGGCGGACCATTTTGAAGAACTGCTTAGTGGCAATCACGAAGATGGCGAGATTGAGGATCCCATGTTTCAAATGAATGAAGATTATCGGCAACCACCCCCCACCGAAGAAGAAATTAGTGAAGCCATCGCAACACTGAAAAAGAATTAAGCCCCCGGTTCGGATAACCTCCCTGCCGAACTTTTCAAAAACGGCGGCGACCCCCTCCTCAAACACATGCATAAACTGATAATTGCAATTTGGCAACACCCACAGACTGGAAGTTAGGTGTACTGTGTCCTATAAACAAAAAGGGAGACATGATGGTGTGTGATAATTATAGAGGCATCAATCTACTCAATATGGCATATAAAGTGTTGTCCAACGTATTGTACAATAGACTCCTCCCCTACGCCGAACAAATAGTGGGAGGATATCAGTGCGGTTTCCGTCCTAATAAATCAACAACGGACCAGATATTTACAGTGAGGCAGATCCTTGAAAAAACCCAGAGTTCGGCGTCGACACCCACCACATATTTGTTGACTTCAAAGCCGCATACGACTCCGTTAATAGAAATAAATTTCTACTTGCTATGGCAGAATTTCGCATTCCGTTTGATCTCGTCAATTTAACTGAACTTACACTCACAGGTGCAGAGAGCATGGTAAAAATCCAAAACCATCTCTCAAGGCCCTTCCATTGCAAAAATGGACCAAGACAGGGTGATGGACTATCGTGTCTCTTATTTAACCTGGCATTAGAAAAAATAATTCGAGAGTCGCAGATTACTACGAATGGTACTATCTTTAACAAATCAGTACAAATTGTCGGATACGCAGATGACATAGACATCATAGGTAGGTCCACACAATCTCTGACTGAAGCATTTCGGTCGTTAAGAGCATCTGCACACAGAATGGAACTAAATATAAATGTTCAAAAGACCAAATATATGTGTTGCACTAGGTCAAGCAACCCGACCCCTACACGAATAATAATTGATGACCTAGAACTGGAAGGTGTCGACACCTTCATATAGTTAGGGTCGCTGCTAACCAAAGATAACAACGTTAGTGAAGAAATTTAAAGAAGAATAGTGCTCGCCAATAAGTGTTACTATGGCTTAAGAAGACAGATGGCCTTAAAAATGCCTAGAAAAATTAAACTGACTATACAAAACACTAATAAGACCAGTGCTAATATATGGTTCAGAAACTTGGACACTAACACAGAATGACCAAGAATTGCTCAAACGTTTTGAGCGAAAAATAGTAAGACGAATATATGGAGGCATAAAGGAACAAGGTTTGTGGCGCAGATGTTACAATTTTGAGTTGTATAGAAGTTTTGGAGAACCTAAAGTTGTAAAATTCATTAAGGTAACACGCCTTAGATGGATAGGTCATGTAATCAGACGAGAGGAAGATGCCATAGTCAGAAAAGTTTTTGACTGAAGAGGGCCGATCAGACAACGAAGAAGAGGAAGACCGAGACTTAGGTACCAAGACAACCTAGAAAATGATTTGAAGTCTATCTGAATTAGAGCATGGAGAAGAGTTGCCAGAGACAGGGGTGAATGGAGGATTGTTCTGAAGAAGGCTTTGGCTCATAAAGAGCTGTAACGTCACTGATGATGATGATGATGATAAAATAAACAGTATTAATTGTTTGAATCTCTAATATAATACTTATAAAGCTTTCGTACCTTTGCGACTCCATAACCATTACACTAGATTGCATTGAACATTCCGAATGTACGGAAGAATATATTAAGTCTCCAGGATTTTCCTACAACAAAGAATTAAAAATCGTTAATAAAAAATAAAGTTAAATGATCAAAAAGGAATTAAACACAGTACGCCCACATGTAGTTATCTATTTTTATGAATTCATTAATATTCTGCTTTTTGATGTATTTTCAAACAAAACAATTAAGAAAATAAAAATAAAAATAACACATTGTATACACCAGTTAAACAATTTACCTGTTGTTGATCATCACTTGTAGTTAAATCATTAATTATATGCTCATTAACTGATGAATATGATTGATCAAGGTCCAAAGACGCTGAACTATCTTCTTCAAAAATATCATCATCAGTATATCTTTGAGATGCAACAGGTTGGATACAGTAAGAACACGGTACAACTAATAATTCGGTATAATCTCTAAAAAGTAAAAAAACTTGCATCTCAACTATTAACCCGGCGTCACCCAGGTGAAAAATGTGTGTATAATAACCCAAGTGGGGTATTATTGACCCTATTTAAAATTGATTGGAAAAACTCAACAAATATTTCGAACACGAATTTATTTTTTTTTAATACCTTATTTGACTATCTAAATTTTCATAAATAACAGCAGTTTTTACCACTGGATTAAATTTGACTGCCTATTAGGTAAAATTTACAAAATAATAAAATTCCTACAAACAAAAAACATAAGATACATAAGAATCCTAGATACATAAAAATTCACAAACAAAATGAGGAGCTGAGTATCAAAGACGGACTACTCCATTTTGTACTTTTTTCAGGAAAGCTGAAAAACTGTAGCGCGTTATATTCTCTACATCCAATTGTGATTTTTTTTATGGATATACTTGTAGCGTCTCTTAATACTTTTGAATAACGAAAATGTAAATATATATCTGTTTTAGTCCCTAAAATCAATAAAGAAAATGGAGTTGGCCGATATTGCAACCAAGCTCTGGAGCTGTCCGTTTTTGAATCCAATTGGAGTTGTCCGATTTTGAAACTATTCCTAAATAAATAAATACCTTCAAATTCGGAACAATCCATCGGAAAGCTTCTACTATTATTTCTATTAAAGTAATTAATTTAGACTAGTGAACAACAAAATACGCTCCATCATAAATCTTTATTTAAAAAATTAAAATACATTAAGAAAGTTTTATTGCTCAGATTAAAAAAATCATTACAATACATTAAGGACTAAGTCGTACTGAGTATCATCCAGCAGGTCCTTACATTCGCAGGATTCACCAAATTCATCCTCTTCTTGATTGATAGCATCTATTTCAGCAGTTGCTTCATTTGGTTCGGTGATAGATGTACTACTGGTAACATCAGAATACCAACGCAAACGTTCCAATTCTTCCCAATTATTTCCAAAATGTTTTGTGAGAAGAGTCTTTACATCAGCTAGTTTTTTCGGATTTACTGAACACCCCAGAGTAATTGGCGCTGGATTAAGTTGAGAAATAACTTTTCCTTTTTTTGTGATCGACAACAGCTTGCCAGTGTCGGAATTGTATGCCAGCTCTCCTGCAACCAACACGTTATTTTTAGCTTTATTGCGAACAAAACGGAAACGTTTGCACTTGGAAACGGCAAAGTGAACACCCTGTGCAGTTTTTAAAAGTTTTTTAGCTTCATCTTTCCAATTTAGCGCAGTCCAATTTTCACCCAGTTTTTTTACTTTACCATATTTGGAAAACACCTCTAAGTATTCTGACACTTCAATTATCGTTGTCAGTTTTTTAAACTCTTTCTCTAGCATACCAAAAACTCTGTCCGCTGGAAGAAAAGAGTGGCCAGTTACCGGAAATACTAGTTCTACATATTCTACATTATTAGGAGCATAGTTAATTAACCAAAACGCGCACATTGCTAGTACATTCATATTTTTATTTTGGCCCGCACAACCATCAGCAACCAATCGTACCACATTAATTTCTGCAAGATCTCCATTTCTAGTTTTTTCACAGAGCTCGTTAAAAACCGCAGAGGCAACTTGGTTGGACGATTTTTGCATATCACTTTCACACCATGTATAAATTGAGACGGAGTCTGGATTCAGTGAAGTTGATGAATTACCAGAAATGACAGCAAGATTATAGCAGTACAGCTGTCGACTGTAATATGCCATTTGGTCAGGAACTTTTGGAAGTGGCAAATTTTTTTGCATGTCGAAAGAGATTGTCAAGAGTCCATTTCTTTGCTCCCGTAAATGGTCAAAAAATGCTCGAGCCTGCATCTTATGAAGATTCTTTTTGGTTTCCCATGAATTAATTATATCAATGTTCTTTTTTTCTGCAGCTTGTTTTAGTCTCTCTTCAAACTCAAGGCAGGTTGAGCAAACATCTGTAAGAGGTGACGTAAAACTGAGATTGAAACGGGTGTTAAAAATGTGTCTAAAGTAAGATTCTTTTACCTTTAAACAATACTCGTCTGTGTTTTGATCATACATAGCATACATTTTGCTGATGTTCAAATCAGAACTAAGGTATATTCTCTTGCTTTTACCTCTACTATAATGAGACTCAATTCCCTTAAATTTTTTAATAAATTTAATAACAGATGCTTGTTTTTCTGCAAACGCTGCCTGTTTCCTATTGCCGCCACGAGTTTCCTGGGGCACCAGAGAACCATCTTTCTTAAAACGCTGGAATACACCTATTATTCGATGCTTTGTGATCCCTAAAATCTGCAAAAAGGCATTTCTACAAACCTCTATTTGAACTTGGGCTTCATTTAACACAAAATAATGGTAGATGGCTGTTTTGGAAGGTCCACCTTTCTTATTTCGCATTCTTGTTGGGGCAGATTCCTTGCAATATTTGAGAAGAAAACTATCTTGCTTTGTCTTCTCCTTGGAGTTGTAAAAAGCTGAATGGAATCGCGCAACATCTTTCATAGTTAGCAATTGGCAACCTTTTTTATTACTTTTATGCTTACAAGTCGGATAAGTTGGTAATGATTTCGCAGAATATCTGAAACAAGCAGAAAACCACACGTTTAATCTTCGCCAGAATAAAAATTAAAATTTATACATTTGTAATTTAAAAACCAAAAACGGTGTTCGTAAATAACATAATAAACCATGGCAAGACGTAAATTGGTATACACAGACGACGTACCGTCGTCTTAACTTACCTTTTAATCTTATCCTGTTCCCGTTTCCAATTATTTTTGTCGACTAATCTCTTCCTGGCTTCATTTTTAGGTGCTTCAACTACGTTCACCTGCATTTTTCGGCAAAAATAGCGCAAATAATATTAAAAAAAACACGACAACGGTTGAAATAACGTCGTAAACTGTTGTAAACTTGAAACGCAATGGCAACTCTCAGTAGGTTTGTTCTAGTGCGCAAGGCCACTTGACGGAAATACTACCTTTCGATTGGCTGTAACGGAGTAGTCCGATTCTGCTACGAAATCAAGTTGGAGCTGTCCGTTTCTGAAACTGATGATCGTTTTAAAATGCAATTTCTTGCATGTTCTAGCCGCTTTTGAAATTAAAGCAATTCAGATTTGAATTCCTTGTGAAAAATCCTATAAGACTATACCATTAACTCAATTTAAAAAAAAAATGGAGTTGTCCGTGTTTGATACCAAGCTCCTCAAATATAGTGATTCAAAATAAGAGATTTTCTCCTTTTGTAAAGGTATAGAAACATTACTTCTGGTAAAAGTTGTTCGCCGGTAGACTTATCTATTTCATCATCGTGATGAAGTGATGATAATAAAATCACGTTTTTCCCTATTTTGGTACAAAGGATACCTGAGGAGTACCAAAGGTACTCTGAGGATTTTTCCTCAGAGTTCCTACCGAAGTTAAACTATATCGTTCACGCCAAATTTTCACAAGTTCGTAAGAGGTATACCAATTATTATCGAAAGTAATTTTGGGTAGCTAGAACAGCTTTGACAATAACATTAACTTTGTATTTTATTATGATAACGCTTGTCGTTTAAAATGTCGTGTGTTTTCGCTTAGTTTTTCGTTTTTCAATTCCTAAATGGAAATCAGCAATGAAAGTGAAACCGACATGATTCCAAATGAGATAAGGAAAACTGCCAAAGCCGCTATTTATGAATTCTTGCCGGTAAAGTCAAGAAAGAGGTATGGTGCAATGATAAAAATGTACATATTAGGTATAAATGAAGAAGATTCATATTTATTATAAAAATAAATTTTACCGTTTATTTATAAAAATAAACGGCGAGTTAACGAACAATATAAGATATGCCAACGACACGGTGATCCTTGCCAGTACCATAGACGAATTACAACAAGTACTGGAAAGACTTTATTCAGTTAGTGAGGAATACGGCCTGAGCCTCAACTTCAAGAAGACAAAGTGGATGCTGATAAGCAAAAAGCAACAACCTGCTCGACAATTACGGATAAGTAACATACTAATTGACCATGTAGAATCTTATGTGTACCTTGGCACCAACGTAAATGAAAAATGGAAACAGACCATAGAAATTAAGGCAAGAATAGAACGAGCTAGAGCAGCATTTAGCAATATGAAAAAGCTCCTCATTAGCAAGGATTTGTCTCTTCCCCTAAAACTACGTATAGTTAAATGCTACATTTTTCCGATCTTGCTGTATGGCGTGGAGGCCTGGACGCTGACGGAGACGCTAACGAGAAAACTAGAAGCATTCGAAATGTGGGTGTACCGACGCATTCTTCGTATATTCTGGACCGAACATGTCACCAACATAGAAGTACTCCAAAGAATCGGAAAGGAGAAAGAAATCGTGAATACAGTTAAACAAAGAAAGCTTGAATATCTAGGCCACATATTAAGACACGATAAGTACCGTCTGCTACAATTGATTGTCCAGGGAAAAATAGACAGTAAGCGAGGGCCAGGCAGGAGAAGACACTCGTGACTCCAAAATCTGCGGAAGTGGTTCGGGCTCACATCGGTCGAACTATTCAGAAGCGCCGCAAACAAGATCAAAATTGCCATGTTAATAGCCAACGTTCGCAACGGACAGGGCGCTTGAAGAAGAAGAAGATTCACATAGCTTCACAGATTGAAAATAGTCGCAACCAAGTTAATATCTCAAACAATAGTAAAAGTACTGACACGTGTTACACTAATTTCAATACTGCCATATCTGTTAATATTCCTAACAATATCAATGTAAATAATTGTTGTAATTGTGTTATTAATATTCATAAGTAGATTTTTCTGATGTTGAATTCACGAGAGTAGCTTTAAAGTGTTTAATAAAAATTCATAAGTAAAGTTTATCCATATATTCTTTTTACATATAACATAAAAACGGCTGCAGAAAAAATATTGTAACTGTAAATTCAGAATATTGTATCAATCTGCATTAAAAAAAACATAAGAGCGTCCACTGCTGAACATAGGCCTCCTCGAAAAACCTCCATTCAGATTTATCTTGCGCTGCTGCAATCCAGTTGGTAAAAAATTCTTTTTATGTCGTCAGTCCATCTTGTTGGTGGTCTTCCCGGGTTTCGTATATCCGCTCTCAGTCTCCACTCCAAAATTTTTTTGCTCCACCTGTTATCCTTCATTCTAGCGACGTGTCCTGTCCACCTCCATTTAATTTTGGCTATATGTTTTATAATGTGTTCTACACCACTTTTTCTACGGATTTCTTCGTTTCTTATCCTATCTCGCAACGTTATGCCTAACAATGATCTTTCCATTCTACGTTGCGTCACTTGTAGTTTTCTTGTAGATGTCCTTGTGAGGGTAAGTGTCTCTGTGCCATATGTAAGGACAGGCAAGACACACTGATTAAAGGCTCTTCTTTTTAAGCTGATAGCTATATCACCTTTAAAAATATCACGCAGTCTTCCATATGCTGCACATCCTAGTGTTATTCTTCTTAGCAGCTCAGCAGTTTGATTATCTCTGCTAATTTTTACCGTATGTCCAATGTATATGTAGCTGTCAATAATTTCAATTTCTTCTACCCTCTTGATTGAAAAATCAATTGAATACAATAGACCTCTAGTTCTAACATTTATAGACTTCCATAAAGCGTTTGATACTATCGAACTAACCACACTTCTAAAAGCATTGGAAGAGTGTCGAATTGATCATGGGTGCACCAATATTATAGAAAATATATACAGAAATGCTACAACAACTATAAATCTGCACGGTCCTACCAATAAGATACATATCAGGAGAGGTATTCGACAGGGAGCTACTAGGTATATCGCCTAAGTTGTTCATTACTGTACTTGAACATGCTTTGAAGTCACTGGAATGGGAAAGTAAAGGAATACATATTTATGGTGAGATGCTTAGTAATCTACGATTCGCAGATGATATTGTTCTGATTTCAGATGACCTAAAGGCTGCCAGTGATATGTTGAATGAACTCAGCGATGCACCACGTAAAGTAGGTCTAAACATTAACTAACAAAAGACAAAAATGATGACTAATGTAGTTCCGAGCCATCCTTTAAGGGTAGAAGACGCTAGCAGTGGATATGAGTATCTCAAAATTCAAAAAAAAAACATACTATGTTGTATCTATGTTCTGGTTATTAAGATAATAAATAATATTTTTAATTGTATATATCCTAATTCATAAAAACTAGAAAAGAAATATTGGCTTGAATATTACAAGTTTTTATTAATTTCTGAAAATTTACTTTTTTGACATAAAAAGTTTTTGAAATAAACCCTTTAATTATTTTAATCTTCTTTAATTAAATATCTCATTGTTTAAATTATATTTTGCAGTTAAATACTTATGATATTTTTAACCCACTTTGCATACGAAACCATAAATGTGTCAATTCAGTTTTTACTTTAACCTTCCAGTTAACCGTTGCCAGTTAGTTTTAAGCAATTATTTACAACGTCATAACTATTTAGAAAATCCATTACCTCTAGCAATGGTATTCATATGTGTGATTCTACTTTATTTATCGGTTTTCTCGGTTTGAGGATCATGCTGCTCCCAGCTATTTTCTACGTTATTGGTACGTATTATATACTCGTTTATTTTTCTCTTTTTAGTATCTGTTTCTTTCAGAACTATACACGAATAGTTGCATGCGATTGTATGTTAATTTTGCCATGCGTGTTCACATACTTGAGATCTATCAAGTACGCTATTTTTAAAATAATATTCATTTTCAAATGGTTAAAATCGGAAGATTTCTTAGTTTCAAAACCAAAAGTTCAGATAATTGCCCAAATCTGTGCTTTCTACAATTTTCAAAACAAAACAGACGATAAATGAACTAATATGAAGAATTTACATCAATATTTTCTACACAATCCTTAATAATTACTTCTTTTAGCAGAAAAGATTAGATTTTATGTTTGGAGCTTTTATATATTCGCTCTGAGGAGTCCTGACAGGACGAAGTACGTATAAGAGAATAGTGGAAGCACTGTACTGAAATCAAATTAATCTGAACTGCCTTTTCTGTATTGATGTTCACTTATTTTAACAGTATTTAAATAAAAATATTCACATTTACATTCACATTTAAATTTAATTTTAAATAAAATAGTTCTGATTAGCCCGTTTCTAACGCATGGGGATTGTAGAGCTTATGATTTTCTACTAAAATACTTTTGTTTTGTCATGCCAAAAATATTCTATGCAAATATATTTTAATATTATGAACGCATATGAAAAAATGCAAAATCTATCGTTTTAAGACGCACAAAATGGTACACTACAAATAAGCTGCAGTCTCGTGTTTGCCACTTAGTAACAAACAGACTTTGGTCTAATAGTCGTCATCATTTCTCCACTGACAACAACTAAAAACTGATTGATTTTTCTACCTTAATATAATCGTTAATAAAGACTACTTAAAATTCCCTGGATACATGACACAACAAATGTCGAAGTATTAAATCGAATGGGCAGAAAACGAGAATTGCTGCCAATAAGAAGAAAAACTGCTTGTTTGGGTCATATATTTCGAAATTCCAAGTACCAATTCTTAAAGCTTATTATGGAAGGGAAGATAGAAGGAAAACGAGGCATCGGAAGAAAGAAATACTCATGGTTTAAAAACATAAGGGATTGGGCAAACCTCGATGCCCATACACTTTTTAGAGCCACTCAAGATCGAGAGGAGTATGCCAGAATCGTCGCCAACATCCACTAATTGGATAGGGCACCATAAGAAGAAGAATATAACCGTTGTATCCTCGTCTTATTAAATCAATAAATTAAAATATGTCTTATAGTAAATCTATTTTATTCATAGTGATGAAGGCATTCATTAATAATAAACACTTTGTGTAGTTCTTTTTTGGTAGTCGCCTTGTTTGTTTTTTCTATCTATATTCGTTATTGATACTCAACATCTTCAACTTTAGCAGGGAGGTTTTAGCATATTTAAAACGCCACGATTGCCGAGTGGGTTTGCGAGTGATTCTATACAGTCCCTACAATCAGGGAATTGCCACTTCCGCCATCCACGTCGTACGGAAGGTATTCTTCTCCGCCATGGCTGCCGTTGTGGACTTCATCCGTGCCCCTGTACAAGGGACTCTAAGCAGGTACTAGTTTTCCGGGTCAGGAAACCCCTGAAATCTGCGGAGGGCAGGGATTGATTTATTTTCCCTGATAGTACTATCCAGAGCAGTTCCTACCCGCTACCCGAATGCATACATGTATACTACCAGTTTTGTACCTACGGCTTGGAGACAGTAGCCCTTACCAAAAAATCACAAAAAAGTGTCTATTATTATATCCATATTGTCATGTGATATCTCCTATGTGGCTATACGTTTATTATTAACGAAGACAAGGTGTAGAGCCCTTTTTGTAGTTTTCTTGTTTGTTTTATCGGTCTTAATACATTCGTTATGATACGTCATACTCTTTCGTTTGATATGTCATATGTTAGGATTCGATCAGTTGTTTTTTGTACTTAGCCAGAGGCCCTTTATAAGTCAATAATTCAAAATTTGTCTATTAGTTAATCTATCCATAGTGCCATATAATATCTTGTAAATAACTATACGTTCATTAATAATGAAAATACTGCGTAGTGCCATTTTTGGTATTCACTTTTTTAGTTTTTCTATCTTAATATAATTATTAATATAATCATTATCATATTTCATTTAACGCATTACACGACCAATAACAACGGATATATGATGTAATGCACTTTTGGCAATGCCGCTATGTTTGTTTTTTTCCGTCATTGTAAGAACTTTTTATAGAACGACATTCTCTTCTACCGCAACACGTTGCAAAGGTCGTCATCTGCTACAGAGATAGCATTAGTTTTGTGGATAGGTGACGCTGGGGTTTTCATTAAGGACAGTCAGACAGACAGAATAAGTAAATTGTATATGTATTGATTGCTATTTTCCTCATATCTTGTTTTGTAAATGTTATAGATCTCCGGTATATGTGGTTCTAGTCAATTTTTTCTATTCTATAAAATTTCTTATTTATAAACGATAAATGTTAATTATTTAAAAAAAAACTAATGTTAGCAAGTTTTTCTCTTCTAAAAAGAAGTTAAAACAAATAATCTTGGGTCTATCATTAAGTAATTTAATCATTATATGATAGAGTCAAAATAACTTGTTCTAACGTAAAAGCTACGCTAGAAACTGATGAGTTAAAGGGAAAATTAATTATCTAATGTTACGTTGATTACGAATACGTTCAGGAAACAAATTTAGTTGAGATATGATTTCAGGTAGAGTAGGTAGGTATAATATCGTCACCAATTCTAATTGTATAAATGTCTGATAAAGTTAATAGAAGAAAAACAGTAACAAAAACATACTTACAAATAATTTGCTTCTTCCACGGAGTATACGTCCTTGGCCCATTTTATATGACGAAGTTCATCTTTAGGTAAAGCCAGTACTAATTTGATATTAACGCCTGATATTTTTAACGTTAGAGCTGTTTTTAAATCACAAAGGAAAACAACAATGGAATCAATGCCTTTTTCTAACTCTTTATGTGCTAAAATATAATCAATAATATAAATGAAGAAAATGATAGCTGATTATAAGTATTAGTTTAAACATTGTTGGTTGGTACTTTTCTTCTTAGAGTTCTATCTGGTATCGGAGCTTGGAAATCAGCCGATACAACATGATTCGTGATCATCACACCTTGTCCTCGCCACAGGGTGTCCCAAACTTAACATAAGAAAAACATTTTCTTTCTTCAACCCGGTATAAGCCCAAAAGAAAAGTTTTAGTAAACCTTTGCCCAAAAGTGGAAATACCAAAGAAAAAATCTAAAATAATAAAAAAATAGTGGAATTCGTTAATCCGTTCAGGAGAAGAATCAGGTGTAATCATAAAAATTAAATATATAAATATGTATTTAATTATAGTTCTAGATTTAGATTTTGCAAACTTTAAAGATTTACCTTTGCGGAGGTTTTGCGAAGAGTGCGGAAAGAAAAAGAGCTGATACTTACTGTTAAAAAGCGCAAACTACAATATTTGGGACATGTTATGAGGGGAGATAAATACCAGTTGCTGCAATTGATTATACAGGGAAAGATAATGGGAAAGAGATCTATAGGAAGAAGAAGGCATTCATGGTTGAAAAACTTGAGAGAATGGTACAATTGCACCAATTACCAACTGTTTAGATCTGCAGCATCAAAAATACGCATAGCTTTGATGATAGCCAAACTTCGGAACGAAGACGGTACTTGAAGAAGAAGAAAGATTTACCTAATCATCATCATCATCAACTTGGTGCTACAGCCCTTAGAGGGCCTCGACCTTCTCAAGTTTTCTAAGGCATTCTGTTCTGTCCCTTGCTTGAATTTTCCAGTTGCCAACTCCGATCTTCTCCGCATCTTGTGTTACCCCATCCATCCACCTCAGCTTTGGTCTACCCCTTCTTCTCATACCCCGGGTTGCGCTATTAGAATCTTCTTTATCATGTTCGATTGAGGGGCTACATGTCCTGTCCACTGCAGGCGGTTTCGCTTAATTATAGTGGTAATATCTTTACCACCAAACATATGCTTGTAGATATTCTCCAGTTCAAAGTTATATCTACGCCTCGATATTCCGTTCTCACAGACCGCTCCGAATATCTTGCGTAGCACCTTTCTTTCAAAAATCGATAGAGCGGATTCATCTGTTTTAGTTGACGCCAATCCCTCTGATCCATATGTGAGAACGGGGACTATCAATGTTCTATACAGCCTTATACGAGTTTTTTCAGACAGACGTTTGTTAGCTAAGTACTTTGATAGACCATGATAACACCTGTTTGCAATTATTATTCGCCTTTTTATTTCCTCAGATGTGTTATTATTGGGGTTAACCGATGTCCCTAGATATATGAACTCTTTGACTGCTTCGAAGTTTTGGTCATTATTTATGGTTTTATTTTGATTTATATATAACCCCATTTGTTCTGCTGCTGCTACTAGCTCGGTTAGGATTTCCGCAGTTCTCGCCCTGGTTCTTGTTATAATTTCCACGTCGTCTGCATATGCTAGAATTTGGACTGATCTATTAAATATTGTTCCCTGCTATCTAAATTAGCGTCTCGTACAACTTTTTCTAAGGCAACATTAAAAAGCTGACACGCCAGTGCATTTCCCTGCCTTAACCCCTTATGTATTTCAAATGGGGTTGACGAGTTGTTTTGAATTTTTACTGCTGATAGCATCTTCGCCATTGTCACTTTTATCAAACATATGAGTTTTTTGGAATTCCTAACTTATTCATAGCGTTGTAAAGACTTGGTCTTAAGACACTGTCATATGCCGCTTTAAAATCGACAAGAATATGATACATATCTATGTTAAACTCTTGAGCTTTTTCGAGAATCTGTCGTAGTGTAAAGATCTGGTTAATGGTTGAACATCCACGCCTAAATCCTGCCTGATATTCTCCTAGAAACATTTCAGTATAAGTCTTTAATCTTTCGTGCAAAATATTTGACAATATCTTAGTTATACAGTATGCTGTCTTTAGGAGAGTTATTTCGCGGTAATTATTGCATTCCAGTTGGTTTTCCTTCTTATGTAACGGGAAAATTAAGCCTAAGCTTCATTCTTCAGGCATTTGCTCCTCAGACCAAATTCTACAAACAATTTCTCGCATCACCTAGGTGAGCTGCTCTCCACCGTGCTTAAATATCTCTGCTTGGATGCCATCGCAACCTGGTGACCTGTGGTTCCTTAGTTTTTCTATAGATATTTTCACTTCATCTACCGAGGGGGGTTCTACGAGTTCCTAATTTCGGTATTCCAGCTCCATATTGTTAGTAGGTTCCCCTTTCAGCAACTCTCGAAAGTGCTCTTCCCATCGAAAAAGGATATCCTCTTTGTTGGTAAGTAAGTTACCTTCCTTATCATTACAATAGTTGATTCTTGGTTTGAATTCTTTTCTAATAATATTTATTTGATGATAGATCTTTCTTGTTTCTCCGTAACTAATAGCGTCTCATAGCGACTCATCATTCGAGCCGTTCTAATATGTAATTTTCCGAGTCTCGTTTCTTTTTTCGGTGTATGCGTTTTCCCTCTCTCCTTAAGCTTTTGTATCTATCTACTGTTGTTCTAGTTTTTCGTTGTTGCATTGTCCTAAATGCCTCGTTCTTCTCATCTGTTATTTTTTTTGCAGTCTTAGTCTAACCAGTCGTTTCTTTCTTGGGTTCGGAATATTCAAAATGTGCTTTCGGCCGCTAATTTCAGAGCCTCCTTGCAGTGGTTCCACATTTCCGTGCTTGACTGGTCGACTGCCCAGGTGTGTTCTAGGGTTTCTTTTATATGTGAATGGAACTGTTTCTCTTTGTTTTCATTTTTTAGCATATGTTAATTATATTTTACTTGTCTAGTGTCCCTTTCTTTGTTGGCATTGGATATTCTTTGTCGTAACTTGGCTCCTACCATGAAATGGTCTGAGTCAATATTTGCGCATCTGTAACTTTTCACGTCCATTAGGTTTGTAAAGTGCCTTGTGTCAATTACAACACGGTCAATTTGATTTGTGGTATGTCCATTTGGTGATATCTAAGTTGATTTATGGATATTCTTATGATTAAAACATGTACTTCCCACAATTAAATCTTTGAAAGCTGCCATACTAATAAGCCTTAAACCATTGTCATTAGTAACGTCGTGAAGGCTGTGTTTACCAATATAATCTTGGTAGCATATATCTTTTCCTATCTGGGCGTTCATGTCTCCAATGATTATTTTAATATCGTTTTTGGCACAGTTATCGTATGCTCTTTCGAAGTCTTCGTAGAATAGATCTTTAATTTCTTCGTCTTTTTCCTCCGTTGGCGCGTGCACGTTGATCAGGCATATGTTGAAAAATTTTACTTTTATTCGAAGGATGCATAACCGATCATTTATGGCTTTAAAAATAATAATACCATTTTTGATTTTCTTTGATACTAGGAACGCGGTTCCAAATTCATGTCGGTTCGGGTTGCAGCTGTAATATATATCATGTTCTTTTTTTCTGCATCTAATCTACTCCCATAACTAAAAACAGTAATCCTGAAAACAATGTGCCACTACATATCAAAGAAATTCTAACCAAAAAAATAAGAGCGTGTACAAAAGGTCTCGAAATTCACTAAATAAAACACAGCTAAATAGACTTAAACACCAGTTTACTTAGCTCGTAATAATACCTTCAATTTATTATTAACAATTTTTTCCAGATAACTATTCTATATGGAGAGCAACTAAAAAATTCAAGAAACCGACACTGTTAATTCCTCTAATAAGAAACTTGGTAAAAATTGGGCGCAGATTGACAATGAAAAGCTAATATATTTGCAGAATAATTAGAAAATATATTTACTTAAATAAATATATATAAATAATATAAATGCATTTGCAGAATAATAAGAAAATATATTTACTTCAAATTTACGTCAAAACATGAATGATGATTTGCAAAATAATAATGAGTACTAACTCTCCCAAAGCCCCTAGAATACCATTAATTCGATGGGAGAATCCTAAAACATCTACCAAGGAAAGCAGTTGTCATGCTTACATAGCTTGGGCAGTTAATACGGAAGAGGCTCAACTCAACTCAGCTCAATTAGGGGAAGTCTCGGGGTGGCACCAATTATTGCCTATATGAGAGAGCATAGGTTAAGATTTCGTCATATTCAACGTAAAGATGTTAAACACCCAATATGAATTATTGCTGATCTGCGAGATTTGGGAAGTAGTAGGAGAGGAAGACACAAAAAGACCTATGGGAAGACGCTTCCGCAGGACATTATATATATATATATATATATATATATATATATATATATATGTCCTGCGGATATATATATATATATATATCTATATATATATATATATATATATATATATATATATATATATAGTCCTATATATATATATATATATATATATATATATATATATATATATATATACATATATATATATATATATATATATATATACTTTAAGCACATATCATGGTTCACATAGCTGAAAAGCATGATTTTTGACATTTCAACTTTGGCAATTAGCCACAGATATATATATATATATATATATATATATATATATATATATATATAAGAAATACTATATAGTGTTATATAGGATATATTAGTGATAGGGATATTAGTGACTGTCGATATAAACAAACAACACAGTTTATTAGGGTTGCAGTCAGAATATTGGCCGGGATGTTAAAAAAAACACTCTTTCTTGTAAAGTAAAATTTCTTGTAAAGAAAGATAACATCAATTACACCTAATTACATATTAATTACACTGTTGTTTCTTTCCATTCTCTGTATGAGTTAATATACACCAGTAAAACACGCCATCAATCAAGTTTTACTATTTTTACAACAAATTTTAAAAATTTTATGATGTATTATGTCCATAATTGTATATTTTAATGTGTGGTATAAATGTTGAGTGTCAATGCTTATAAAAATAATCTCAACGACTAGTAAGTTACACTGAAGAATTGTGATATTTTTTAAATATTTACATAATTGTCTTTTACAGTGTCTTGAAAAAGGAATAAAACCATTCCGAAAGCTCGACAAAAAGTCAAAAGAGTAATTTTTTTTTAACATCCCGGCCAATATTCTGACTGCAACCCTAATAAACTGTGTTGTTTGTATATATATATATATATATATATATATATATATATATATATATATATATCTGTGTTCGAAAACACTGTACGAGAAATTATATAATACTTACATATACCATAATGGCATCCGTTAAATTCCGAAGTCGAAATAAATTCAGCCTGTTTCATCATATCAACAAATTCTTCCTTTTCTATAAAATAATAATGTTTGCCGTCGATTTCATTTGGTCTTTTTTTCCGTGAAGTATGGCTTATTCCCAACCGTACCCTTTAAAAGAAAGAATCATTAAATGTACATAATAGTTATTTATGTATTAAGAGAAAAATATGTTTGCTTGAAAGTAATATCTTGAAAGTAGTATTGTCACGTTTTGTTTGTAATAATAATAATATATTAGCATTTTAAGCCAAGCACTTTCATGGCTTGATTTAAATCTTTCTCCATTCCTGCTTGTTCTCTGCTTTTTCTTTCCAATTGCTTTCCAATTGCTGAGATACCTCAGGTCATAATGACTCCATCTGGTGATCGGCTTTCCTTTTTGTTTTTACCATCTATTGTAGCACCCAACAAGATTATTAGCTTACTAACTGTTGTCATTCTTAGAATATGTCCTAACCATTTAAGTATTTGTGCTCTCATAATTGCAATTGTATTAGGCTCCTTAAATAATTCTTCCGTTTTTAAACGCTTTCTTTGTTCTTCGTATCCACCAATTATATTTTATTTTTCGCCAAATATTCTTCGAAGTATTTTTGTTTCCCATACGTATAACATTGATTATTCAGTTTTTGTCATAGTCCAGATGTCTGAGATATATGTAACAGTTGGTCGGTCTTATTACAGTTTTAAACGTTCTTAGTTTAGCTACTTCGGATATATTTTTGCTTCGGAGTCTATTGGGTGCATATATGCAACAATTTCCTGACATTAGTCTTTTGTGTATTTTTCCCGGATACTTGATTTACTCGAAAATATATTCCCTAAGTAAATCTTTTTACCTGTTCCAATTTTATATATTTTTCCTTATTTCATTGTTATCACTAAATAATGTCCCTGTTAAAACTGCTTATTCGTCCATGTCATGTGCTTAGTTTTTGTCTCGTTTATATAGAATCTTTTTTCTCGACCTACTTTTTGGAATGGAAGAGTGGATGTGGATGGAAGAGTTGTGGATGGAAGAGTTGTTAAAGAACCCAAAAGAGAATAGTAACGGAGCGCTAAATACTTTGAATATCTTAAAGTTCAACAGAGAAAATTCAGACCGGTGGTTAAAATTCACAATATATCATGAGAAACACACTTTACAGAAATTTAAATATAGATGCAAAGATGGCCCTGAAGAGGAAAATTGCGCAAGTGAAGACATGATATAAAATAGGGATAGTAACATAATGAATATTTACACATCATTAAAAAATTAAACAGAAAAAAACACCTGGCTCAGATAATATCACCAACAAGCTAATTAAAAACGGAGGGGAAAATAACATGCATTTACAAGTTACAATTTACTAGTTAGAATATGGGAATCAGAAAAAATGCCCCAGGATTGAAGAGAAGGTAGAATTATAAAAATATTTAAGAAATAAGAAGTAACAAACTCTAACATCTATAGAGGAATATGTCTACTGAGCACAACATACAAAATTCTAATAGCTCTCATCAGAAAAAACTCACTTAATTCACAGAGAAAAAATTGGGGACTATCAGCAAGGATTCAGAAAAGACAGATCCACTACAAATGAGATTAATATAACTACACAAACAATCGAGAAATGTCACGAACACAACATAGAACCATACACTGTCTTCGTAGACTTCAGACAAGCCTTTGACTGTAATGGAAGAAATAAATTATTTCTTCTTTCTTTAAGTTCCATCTTCTATCGAAGGTTGGAAATCATCATGGCTATGCGGACTCTGTTGACTGCCGCTCTAAAAAGTTCTGCACTACTGCATTCAAACCATTCCCTTAAGTTCTTAAGCCAGGATATTCTTTGTCTTCCCACATTTCGCTTTCCTCGAATTTTGCCCTGCATAATAAGTTGTAATAATGCGTATTTTTGCCCTCTCATCACATGTCCCAAGTACTCAAGTTTTCGTCTTTTAATAGTTAATATTATTTCCGCCTCATTTCCTATCCTTCTAGTTACTTCCATGTTTGACATTCTTTGAATCCATGATATTCGTAGGATTCTTCTATAACACCAAAATTCAAAGGCGGCCAGCTTATTCAGATGAACTTGTTTGAGTGTCCAAGCTTCCAGACCATAAAGAAGAGTAGAGAACACGTAACATCGAAGCATTCTCAGGCGTAGTTCTAACCTTATATCCCGACAACAAAGAAATTTTTTAAGTTTAATAAATGATGTACGTGCTATTTCAATACGTGTCTTAATTTCTTTGGTTTGGTCTACATCTGATGTTATCCATGTTCCTAAATATTTATAGTTATTAACATTCTCAATTGCAGTATCTTCAATAGTCAATTGGATATTTGCATATGCAGATTTAGTCATGATCATGCATTTAGTTTTCTTTAAATTTATTTTCAGTCCGTACCCATGACAGCGTTCATTAAGGCGTTGCATTAGGTTCTGTAAATCATTGTTGTTATCCGTAATTATTACTGTATCGTCTGCAAAACGTAAGTTATTCAAAACTTCTACATTGATAGATATACCTTCTATTGAGTCTGAGAGCGCTTCTTGAAATACCGCTTCACTGTAGACATTGAAAAGTAGTGGGGACAGCACGCAACCCTGGCGGACTCCTCTCTGTATTTTGATATTTTCGGTGTACTGGCTGTCAACTCTTACCTTGGCAGTTTGATTCCAATATAAATTAGATATAATTTTCAGATCACGACTGTCAATATTTTTGCTTTTTAATATATCTACAAGCTTTTTATGTTGAACTTTATCAAATGCCTTTTCAAAGTCTACAAATGAAATCTGCATCTCTGAGCCAGCACATTCAAGCCGAACAAAGCATCTCTTGTACTCATACCATTTCTAAAGCCAAATTGTGTGTCACTAATCTCATATTCAAGAGTTTTAACAATTCTGCTGTGAATTATTTTCAAAAATGTTTTAAGTGTGTGACTCATTAAAGCTATTGTTCTGTGGTCTGAGCAAGTTGTTGAACTTGGTTTTTTGGGAATTGCTACAAGGTTGATTGCAGCCATTGGGTGGAATGCATAAAAAGTAGTAGATGCTATTGCTTTAGCAAATAGTATCTGGTTTGTAGCATTTACTTTTACATAAAAGTAGTTGCTTTGTTGAAAAGAGCGTACTACACAACCGAAGTACTTGCTACTAACCTGAAAGTTCTACTATTAAACGTAACGCCAGCCGTAGTGCCCTTGTGTGCATCACACCAATCGTATTAGAACTAGTTTTTCATGTGATTTTTCAACTTTTTATAAAGATTTTAATTTAATACTTAAATATATATACATATGCAGTAAGCTAAAATAAGTCTTACCCGCCCCCTACTCTCCTACTTTCCCATTTAAAAAATCAAAGTTATGACTGTCACCTGAAGAAAGATTGCTTAAAGTTCGAAACATTGATGCTATAATATACTATGATTATTTTAAAAATCGACCTCTTCGAGTGTTTTGCTTATATACTAAAAATAAATGAGTTAATATGGGGGGTTACACTCATTTCAGCACACTGTATGAATAAAACTGCACGATTCATGATAATTACCTGAATATTTTACGATAAATATCGTCATTGTATATTCTTCCTGGTTTTTTACGGCGAACATTCATAAATGCTGCCATTTAACAAACATAACAAAAAACACCTAAGCCAAAGTTGTTTATCTACAAACTTCACCTAAACTGAAGCAAATTCTACTAAACTAGCAAATACTTCAAAAGCGTAGTACATCGTTCTATGTATCTGGTAAATAGTATTAAATACTACGGAGGAAAGCAAAATGCTTTGTAAGTGTAGCAAGTATTACAAAAATGTAGAATTACTTGAAGCATTAGCAGATACTATGTTTTATGCATTCCACCCATTGTCTGGGGATTGTGGCAGTCTGATATATTAGATTAAAGAGTTCAACCATTACATCAATAACATCTTCATCGATGAGTTTTAATAATTCGATGGGCACCTCATCTGGTCCAGTAGCTTTACCCTCTTTTGTGTTTTTGATGGCATAGATGACTTCTTCTCTTAATATTGGTGGTCCAGTATCCTCGGTGATTTCTAATGACAGTTCTTCCCTTTCATCATTAAATAGTTGTTGAATGTAATTGGTCCAGTGACATAATCTCTCCTTCATATCAGTAATAATACCCCCGTTATCATTTTTAAGGATATTCGTTTTTGTACGCTTTCTAGAACCTGTCATTTCTTTGATTTTTTTGTGTAAATTAAAGCTATCGTACTTTTTATCCAGATCTTCTATTTCCTTGCATCTATCGGAGAGCCACCTCTCTTTTTCCTCTCGAATTTTCTTTCTGATGTTTCTCTGAATTTCTTTGTATTTATTCAGGTCTTTTGCTTTATGTTTTCTCCGTTCTTCCATGAGTTCAAGAATTTCTACTGTCATCCAAGGTTTTGTTTTTTCTTTAAGTCGTTTGAGGGTTTCTTTTCCAACTGACACAAGGGCATGTTGAATTTTTCCCCATTTTTGGTCAATAGTTAGAGTTTCTGCATTATCTTTTTTGACTTTTCTTAAGCTCTCGTTTATTTTAAATTTTGTTTCCACATATGTGTTGTCTTGTTTGAGACGTCTTGTATCTATGATTTTCTTGGTGCTAGGGCTGTTGACCTTCTTTAGTTTCACTCTCATCGACAAAACAACCGGGTTGTGGTCGGAGGATATGTCCGCTCCTGGTTAAGTTTTAGATGATATTATAGAATTTCTATATCTTCTTTTGACGATAATATAATCTATTTGATTTCTGACTATTTTGTTGTTATTGTCAGCTGGTGACCTCCATGTATATAGTCTACGTTTAGGAAGTTTGAACAAGGTATTTGTAATTATGAGTTCCTCATTGACACAGAAATCGACAAGCCTATCGCCACGTTCATTCCTTTCCCCGAGTCCATATCGCCCCACGCAATTCTCCACTTCTCCTTGGCCAATTTTAGCGTTCAAATCGCCCATTATAATATTTATATCTTGTCTTTTAGTTAGTCTTAAGACATTGTCGATTTGTTCATAGAAGGCCTCTATGGTGTCTTCATCCTTGTCTGCAGTGGGTGCATATACTTGGATTATATTTATTTTACGTT